GGCCTTCTCTTTTGACTTCGTGTCAACTTAAAATTCTGGCCTTTAAAAGGAAAACCCATGCTACTAAAACGTCATTTAGAAAGAATACTATTATCTTCACCGTATTTTTGGGTCTGCTTTGGGAGTAGACTTTCTTAGGGACCAAGTAGTAACATTTTAGATCACCTACTCTCTGTGTTCCCATTTTATTGGTGAGACTGTTAAGGCCCAGACTAGTCTACACCCCAGTCAGTGAAAGGAAGCCCCTGGCTTTCTGCCCAAGTCTCTTGATTCCAAGCTTGTGCACGTGCTCCTGCCCACTGGCTATGAATTCAGTAAAACTAAGAAAATTAGGAAAAGTAAGAGTTTCCAGATAAGTTGCAGTGAGTTATTGTAATACCTTCGGTTTTCTTACTAATACGAAAATAAATAAATGTTTATATTGATACCCCAGTTAATGTGGGCTTATAGAATTTAGCAGGTTCTTAATAGTTAATGTTCATCCCTCCTTGTCTTCACTGTTCTTTCTCAGTGACTGTGGTTGTGGCACCAGCAGGTGTGCAAGCACATGTAAAAGTGAACCTTTTCTGTTACAGTGTCTGCAGTGAAGCACTAAGCTACTTCCTTACTCTAACATCAGAAAGCCATCGGGAAGCCTGGACTAACTTACTGCTTTTGTTTCTAACTAAAGTTCTAAAGATAAGTGATAATAGGGTAAGTATGGGACATCATGTCCTGCCCGGCATTTCTAGCTGGGCAGCATGGTGTCCAAGTGGGAGGGAGGCTAAAAATGTGTAACTGAGAGGCAGAAGGAGAAGACATTCCTGTTGATGGCAAAAGATACTTAGCTACTTGATATTCTTTATGTAAACATTTTTCAAAATCCAGGAAGATAAGACAAAGCCGGGGCCATGCTGTCACTCTGCAGAACCATGTGTTCCAACTTCATCTCATTGGTCCTGCCTTCTCCTTCCTGACCCTGCTCTGTTCACTTCTCGGTGATTCTGTAGGGCATCTAGTAGATGAAACACCTTCAAACTCCCCACCCTGACCCCTGGAATCTTCCCCCAACCCCATTTTGGAAATTGCTATCCAGCATACTCTTTCCCATCGCCACATCCTGCCCCCTCACCCCCCTTTTCCCTACAAGACATGATGCTCCAGGTTTCAGCCATTCCTTTGGAATGCTTATTTGTACCTTATGACCCAGAACTCTACTTGAATGGGCCGAAAATTCATTTAAGAATTTTATAGCACAAAAAATATGTATATTTAAGGTCTTCAAAAATAGTGGATTTCACTCTAAAAATAGATAGCAAATTATTGCTCACGTAAGTAGAAATGGGTTGCTGTGACCTCTGGAGGGGCTTAAAAATGCCTCGTCACGTGGCCTGACATTTGACACTTTGAGCCCTCATGGCACACGGCACCCTGTAGAGGTCCTTTGATGCCCCTCAGTTCTGCACAGACTTTCATTCCAGACAGACAAGTCACATGTCTGGTTCCACATGCATGTCCTGCTGACTTCTTGGCCAGGTAAGACATGGAGAAATGACCTAAGACACTAAGAGCAATGTTGCCAGGAGACTCCAAGCTCCAGTCTGTCTTACTCTACGACTTGTTTTCTTGCCACCGAGGTCATACTGATTCCTGATAGCTTGTGGGGTGTGGAAAGCAGGAAAGGAAAAAGAGGCATTGGCTAGTTTCAGACATTAAAGAACTTGGCAAAGATATAAAGTAATATCAGTTGAACCTTAAGTGTGGAATGCATAATTTTGGCCTGGCAACTCTATTTTGAGATATTTAACAAAAGATACAGTTTCAGTAACCCATAGCCTATGAAAACTCAGCTGTGGTTCCTGCTTCAGTTCTTTTATTACCCAAAAAAAGCAAAGATAAGCTCTGAGAGTCTGCCAAGATAATGTTAAGGCAAATGTTTTTCAACATAAGGACAACAAAGTGAATACTGTTTAGATCCAGTTTCTTGAATACTTCTTAATCCGTCAGTTCCTTGATGAATATATTCACTTTTCACAGACGCATTCCCTGTCTTCACTGTATATATTCCAAGTGGTTTGACTTTCAGGCAATTTTCAGGTTCTGCAGCTCGGAATGCAAATACAACTAACGGAAAAACTCATTCCTTCCCTCCTCCCAGTTCAAAGCTCATGCATCATTCTACTATCCTCTCTTATGTGAAATTATGCAATTTGACTTGATTCCTGAACTTCGTGCTGTTCTTAGAAGATTTTTTCTGCGAATCGGAGTAGTCTTTCAGATATCACAACCACCTCAACAGGATGTTGGAATAAACAAGCAATGATGGGAACTTCATATTTTTCTGTTGGCGTTTACATCCCTCTGCTCTTTAAAAGGACCCTGGAGCTGAGGTTTCCTACCTGAAAAATGGTTTCTCTGAATTGCAGTGTCTAAGGGTTATTGGTAACCGATGCTTAAAACTCTATCTCAAACTTGTAATGCTCCAGTCCCTTTTAATAGCCTGATGGATTCTGTTTGTCATGTCGGGCTCATGTTGAGCGGAAAGCCTGTTTCCACAGTGTCAGTTTATGCTCATGTGTCCTTCCCTGAGCTTGGCCGCAGGGAAAGCCCCACGTAATTTTGGCAGGTGTGGAAGTGAAACTTACCCAAAGAACTGTAGATGTAAAGATTTGAACTTCTGCAAGAAGTACAACTCAGGAGAGCTGTATTTTGAAGGATAAAATGTTTATAGTTGGGGGTTGGGGAGAGAAGAAATTATTGTTCATGGTAAAAGATATTTAGCAACTATGGTATTCTTATTCTGAAGATTTTTGCACACTCAGACTATCTGAGATACTGGTAATCATCCTTCTGTGAAAAATGTACAGAGATGCAGGTCTGTAACATAAAAATCTTAAAACATATAGTTCTTCCTGCACTGTTTTATTTCTTTATTTTCTTATTCATTTGCTAAATACCTATAATATTTTGTCAAATGCACTAAACATTTGGGTTGAATTTCTGTCTTTTTTATTTTGTGGGAATTTAGTTTTGTCCAGGGGGGGCTAGGGGGTGGGGTGGTAAGTTTGAGAGTATAACATGCCCAAAAGCTGTTGTGGCTGACACTTGTGATCAAAAACAAAAAAGGTAGAAAATATTCCTACTGACTTAACTACCTGTAATATACTTCTCTTAGGGCTTTTAAAGATGAGCCATTAAAATAGAATGATCCTTCATGGACCGAAACTTGAATCACTGCAAAATGAATCTAGGTTGCTGTCACTTTGTTTTCTTTTGGGTGGCGGGGCTTGATGTAGATTTTACTCTTATGTACAGAATTTAATGTTGAATATATTAAAATAACAAATCTGGCATGGTTTGGGGAGGTTAGATTTACTGGAAATGTATTCATACTGTGAATTGTGCTCTGATGGTTACAAAAAGACAAGGATTGTCAAGCATTCCATATTAACAGTGGATGTAGAAAATTTTTTCAGATGGATAAAATGTATATGGTACAGATGTAAAGTTTTCTATGTAAAAAATTCTGTACAACTTTCTGTACAATATTGATTCTCATCTGGCATATTCTAATCAGGTTATAGTTCAATAAAGTTTTTGAATTATTTCATCAAAGCAATCAAAACCTGTGTAACCCACAGCCCCGTGTTTCAGTCTTTCCTTTTTATTTTTCATTTAAAGCCAAATAACTGTGCGAAGAATATTCTCGGTGGGAACTATAAAATTCTTTAGTTTTTTCATTCCAGCTTCTGGCATTATATCCTCCCTGACACCCTCTGTTCTGAACCATAGGACAGTCATAACTTAGTATTTTGTGTATTTATTAACCCAGAATAAGGCTACATTATTTGCTGAGGGACATTTTAAGTTCCTTTCAGGGCAGTTTGCGGTACATCAATGTATTTCCTAGGAGTTTGTTCAAGTTGCAATCTACAGTGTCATTCAAAAGGAAAACGGAACACATCAAGGTAATTCGAAGACTGTATTAAAAACTGAAAGTGGGGTACTGTTTGCTCTCACAACCTCTTTTTGGATGAGTGCCCAGTTAATGGACAGTGGATTTATGGTAAATGATGGTTAGATTACAATATTTAGTATACATTTTATATGCAGCCAAGATGTTAGATCTTGTCATGTCAGTGGAAAAGGGGAAGGGGGTGTCCTGAACTGTCATGGTACTAAAGACTAAACATTTCCCAGAATTTGAGTCTTTGCTTTTTTTAAAAAAAGGACTGTTTACTGAGTGATTAGAAAGACCGCGCACTTATCTGAGAGTCCATGATGGCGGAGCAAGGATTCCAGTCTCCATCCTTGATCCCCTGTGTGTTCCTGCCTCTCTTGAATTTCTAGAACACCTGGTCTTGAAACCTCAGTTCCAGATAAAATAAGAAATCAACATTGGTTAGAAAAATAATTTATTTCAATCAAGAAGTAGGTAAATTATATAAATAGAGAACTTAAGATGATGCCTTATTAGCACAAAAATAGAGGCAGAAAGATGTAACATTTAGTGCATGATTCAGGGAATAAAATCAGTTATGACTGACTCCCATCATTTATACTGAATCAGTAGCTATAAATGATATAGAAATGATGTAACTAGCACATTTGATTGTTAACATAGCAACTGAAAGTGATAGCTACAACATACTACTAAATGATTTATTTTAAAGAGAAATAAAACTGCTAATAACATACAAGGGTATCCTGATTTTACAGTACTATTAAGACACTTGTGTTTTATTCACCTTATCTTACTGACAAGCAGAATTTAAAGTAATGCACATATGGTAGTTGATTCCAAGGAAGTTTATTATCTTTATGGCTAAACTATGCAAAAATAATTCTGTGCAATTCTACATTATATAACTTAATCATAGCCTTTTATTTATGTACATCATATACATTATCATGGAAAAAATACACTTTATATACAAATGTAAATAATTGTCCAGGTAGGGGCCGAAAGTAACACACATTAAAGGCTTCTGATTTGATAGTCACCTTAAAAGGCACTGCTATGTCCAATACAGATTTATTTTAACCATGTGCAGTAGACAGCCCCTGCCAACTGAAAGTGCCTGGTTTTCCAGGAACATGCGGCTGCTCCTGGTTCAGCTGTTCTGCCATGAATTGCTTCAGCGTTTCTGAGGTGCCAGGGCGGAGCCAGGGCTCCGTTGCTACAGAGTTTGATCCATCATCACCCATTTGCTTCATGATGTCATCTGGGTCAATCAGTGAACTCTCATCATCTAAAGGAACCAAGAGAGACTTCACTCAGGTGGCAGGCAGGTGACAAGAACACAGTCTCCTCTAGTCCAACTCATTCCGCCCTGCAGCCTCTGTTCTAAAGCATACCATTTTATTCAGATGCCTCATTTTAGAGGAAGGAAAGTGAATTCAGAAAGGGGTCAATTTAACAAAAAATGATCAAATGAATAAGGTGACTCCATAATACTGGTACCCACGGACATCCCTAGGATAGCAAAGGCAACTGTGCCAAACATGATGTTGACTGTAGAAGTGTAGGTGATCTTACTCTGTGTCATTTTCAGGAGAAACAGAATAGACACCTTTTTGAGGGGAGCAAAGAGGGATATTTTAGCATTTGGGGAAAGCACCAGACAGGTGAAATTACTTCCAGTCTTACACCTAATCTAAGGTTGTGTCTACTTCATTAAGAAGTAGATCTTAATTATGATTTATCCTTTAACTGAATTATCATACTCAACTTTCTATCTGTATTTTATTATTACATACAATAGGAAAAATCTGTCTTCCTACCCTGTGATGTCAATTTCTTTTTTTTTTTTTTTTAATTACATCTCCTGGTCTGTGAAGGATTAGCCCAGCAAAAGGATATATGCAATCAATTTAGTGAGAATCCACATCGTACCAAAAAGATCCTGTTTGAAAGGACAATGTTTAAAAAAGTTTAGAAGTTGATCCTTAAAATGTTCTGCTTTTAAACACATCCTGTTAAATATTCAACTTACTGGTTCTAGAAGAAATTGAGGAATAGATAATTCTCAGTAAATGCCTTTTAGCTAAAATGAAAGCATTGCTTTCCTGTTGTTGCATGTTTTTCCAGGTTGTATATAGTACTGTACCTTCAAATTACCATGTTTGCTAGTGCTTGGTATGGAATTTACCACCAGAATGCACTTTAACAGCTAGAGAACATCAGTACAGTTTCAATTTAACACAGTATAAAACATCTTAAGAAAATTTCCCTTGAAAGTTATTGTAATGTAGCTTAACGTACTGAAGAGACTTGTCCAAATAGATCATCCTACCATTTGCTAAACTAATAATACAACAAGAGTAATAGGACTTACTCCTATAAAATTGTCCCATTACATCAAAGACTAATAGCATCAGCATAAAAAGGTGGTAGGGAACTGGCAGAGGAGCTCATTAGCTGTGCGCAGAAATATCCTGCCCACACGTACTGGGTGGACAAACTTTATTTAACAAGCTGCTCACCACAGCCCCGAGAGACAGTTAAGCCCAAATCAAAGGACTAAAGTTATTTTTTAAAAATGTTAACTTGATATTTTGCTTTGTCCATGGTACAGACAACTAATAAAAATATTTTCTTTGTAATACTACAAATTTATCAAAGATGGGTTAACTTCTGATAATCTGTCACCTAAGTAAGGAAAATAAATGATACTAATCAGCATTTTTCTGCTGAGAGCAAAGTCTTAATATTTAATAAGCAAAAAACCTGATCTGTTTAGGATCCCCTCTCTAAATACAAAGATGCAGAATTAATCCTGGGTTTTGCTGGATAGCTACTGTGTTCTAAACCGTACAACTCAAAGAACTTCAAAAATCCTCCCATCTTTTACCTAACCTCCATCTACACACATTTAAAAAAGAATTAGCTACAGGCTATTAAACCTGGCCGTTTACCTGTGTTAATAGGTTTATTCTGAAGGTCATTCAATCTTCGTATTCGTTCCTCATTTCTCATTCTAAGTTGATCAATATTTATACTGGATACAGATTTTAAAGAGAGAGCATCTGGCAGTACATTGGGATGACTGTTATCCTGTCGTTAGAAATCATAGAACTTCAGGAATCATTAACATAAAATATTCAGAAAAAATCAGTGAATCAAACACATGTTCTTTCCCTTGGCATATATGTATAGCGAACAAAACTAAGTGAAAATCTGAAGCATTTAGAATTGCTGGTGTTTATCCACGCTGGCACAGATAAAGGTATGGCATTTATGATAACATAAATGCTGCCAGAATGGATAAAGGTGGGGAATTAGACACAAAAGGAAAAAACAGCTGGAGCTAAGAATCAGTCCAACTACAGTAGTCAAGACAAGGTCATATTGGCATTAGGACAAAGGGTCATAGAATAGAAACAGGGTTGAGAAAGACATTCATTTATGGCAGCGGAATCAAAAAAATTCACTAAGGTTAAAGAACATTCTTTTCAACATAGGATGTTGGAACAACTGATGTCCCTATACAAAAGAATCAATCTTGGATCTCTACACTTCATGCCATATGCAAAAATTAACTCAAAAGTTGATCACTGACCTAAATTTAAGAGCATAAATCATGTAGTCTTAGAAGAAAATGCAGAATTAACTTTCATGATCTTGGATTAGATAACAGTTTCTTAGAAATGACACTAAAGTACAAGCAGTAAAAAGCTAAGACCTCGTCAAAATCAGAAGCTTCTGTGCATCAGTGGACACCATCAATAAAATAAAAAGACAGCCGACAGAATGAGAAAAAATATTTGTAAATCATACATCTGATACAGGACTTGTATAGAGAATATACAAAGAACTTACAATCAACAACAGATTTGAAAATGAGCAAAGGATCTGAATCTACAGATCTCCAAGAAAGATATAGAAAGGGCTAAGAATCACATGAAAATACACTCAACATCATTTAGGAAAATACAAATTAAAACCACAATGAGATACCATTTCACATTCACTAGTAATGAAGATACTAACAGGCATTAATCAGAGGTAGAGAAGCCAGAGCCTTCATCAGCACTGCTGGTGGAAGTGTAAAATACTACAGCCACTTTTGAAAACAGTCTGGCAGTTCCTCAAATGCTAAAACACAGTCACAATAACCCAACAATTCTACTCCTAGGTAAGGGAGATGAAAACATAAAAAATTGTATAGGAATATTTAAAGTTATAAGAAGCAAAAAGTAGAAACCACCTAAATATCCATCAAATGTTGGATGAATTCAGCAGTAAAACTCAAGTACCGACACGCTGTAACTCAGATGTGCTTTAAAAAAAAAAAAAAAAAGGCCACATCGTATTACATATCATTTATGTGTGTCCTAAAAGGCAAATCTAGTGATAGAAAATGAATGATTCCTGACTGTCTAGGACAAGTAAGCAAGTTTCTGTCACTGGGTAAAATTGTGGATATACAAACCTAACAATGTAACAGCATTTGAAATTTGTTAAGCGCTCCCTGCAAACTTGATTCAGTGCTAAATGCTTCACATATATTATGCAATTGTACAAATATAAGGAAACAAACAGTTTAGAAATTCCCAAAGCTGCTTACCCAACAAAGCAGTGATACTGTTGGGAGTTGTACTAAGAGTTCTAAAGCCTGTGCTTTTTACTGGCTACAGTGTAAAAACAATTATGCATGTTCTGCAAGAACACGGGTTTGATATTCAGCCTTCATAAGTGATGTTGGTCAAGTCATCTGACCCATACAGAGATTATTTTAACAGGCTTTCCAGTAAGTGCTTATCAGTTCCTTCTTGTCCCTTCTTCAAAATCCATATTCTACAGGAAAAATTGGGGAGCTGGGGTGAGGAATTAACATTTTTTAGGGCACAAAAGGATAAAGCAGTCTTGTGCCAGGCACTAGGCTTATATGTACAGTCATCGAGGAGCCAAAGCAATGGAATAACATGCCCAAGGTCATCCAGCTAACTGGTGATAATCTAGGGTAGGGCCCATGGCCACCTCATTCCAGAGCAAGTCTCTTTATTGGACTGCACCAGTCTAGCACTGATCAGAACCAAGACCTCTGGTCATAAGCTGAGAAGGGAAAAAGGTCATTTCATACATACGAAGTCCAGTCCTTTCAGTTTGTTCCTCCTGCGCTCCCTTGCAGAGGGCAGCTGTGGACGAGGGAGAGCATCATCTTCAATGGTGGGATATGTCTCACCATAAGCACCTAGGATGAAACAAGGATAAAGTCTTAAACAGCCACCATTTCAAAAATTTTGACTTGACCTAAACCAAGATTTTTTGGCTTTATTGCATTAGCTAGGATTTCCATAATGATGTAGAGGCAACATCTTGGCCTTGTTCCTGATCTCATTATTAAATACAATCTCAGCTATAGATTTTTGATGTGCTCTATTAAGTTGAGGCACTTTCCCTCTATTCTAGTTTGCTAACAGTTATGATAAATGGGGGCTACAATTTGTTCAATGTGTTGCATCTGTTAACAAGATTTTTCTTCAGTCTGTTGATGTGGTTAATTACATTAATTGAATATATTCCTGGCATACATCCCATTTAGTGTGTAGTTCTTTTTTCTTTAAAGATTTATTTTTATTTATTTATGCATACAAGAACTGCAATGTAGGCCAGAGGTGTGAGGAGTGAGAGGAGTCACCAGAGAGAGTGGGGAGCAGAATAGGTGGATCTACTGGACCATTAGTGTGTAATTCTTTCTATACATTATTGGATTTGATATGCTAGTACTGAAAATGTTTTGCATACATTTTCATGAGAGCTATAATCTGTAGTTTTCTTGTGATATTTTTTATCTGGTTTTGGTATTAAGGTAATGCTGGTCATATAGAATAAGTTAAGAGTAGTCCTTCTGTTTTTTATCTTCTGGAAGACAAACTTAAGAGAATTCTTTCCTAAACATCTGGTAGGATTCACCAGTGAATCCATCTGTGCCTACTACTTTCTGTTGTGGAAGGTTAATTACTGATTCAGTCTTTTTTTTTTTTTTTAATTGTTTTAGCTAGTTCGATTTGTTCCTGGTTTAATATAATTGACAAGTAATTCACCTTGGGCAGCTCTTATTCCTTGGAGGCCGGCTGGACCACCCTGTTGCTATAGCCAAATTCCCTGTCATACCAGGAAAAGAGCTTGAGAAAGTGGCTGGTGAGGGCATACCAGCCCCAATACTGAAGGTGGCGGAGTGGTTATCACTGTTAAAATTCACAACGCAAAACCTAGTCTACAGTGTAGCCCAAGATGTCCTTGAGGGGACTCAGCTAGGCCTGCTTCACCAATCTTCTTATTATCATTGTATTTGGCAGTTTTCTCTGGGTAGGGCAGATTCACAACTGACACATTAGAGATGGAGAGACAGAAGTCCATGCCAGTGAGCTTTCCATTCACCTCAGGGATGACTTTGCTTTTGGTGGCACCAGAAGCAGTGATGATGTTCCAGGTGGTCCCTCAGCCATCATGCCAGCTTCCCAGAGGGGCCATACAGTGTCTTCCGGGTGACAGTGGTAGCATGGACCATAGTCATGAGTCCCTCTATGAAACAAAGTTGTCATGGATAATCTCCAGGAGGGGAGGGGGAGGCAAGCAGTGCAGGAGGCACTGCTGACAATCTTGAGAGAGCTGTCATACTTTTCATGGTTCACACCCATCACAAACATGGGGGCATCAGTAAAACAGGCAGAAATGATGACCCTTTTGGTACTCCCTTCAAGTGAGCCCCAGCTTTCTTTGAGGTAGTGAAGATACCAGTAGACTCTACACCATATTCAACACCAGCATCATCGCATTTGATGTTGGCAAGATCTCGCTCCTAGAAGATAGAGATGGGCTTTCCATTGATGACAAGCTTCCCATTCTCAGTTTTGACTGTGCCATTGAATTTGCCCTGGGTAGAATCACACTGGAACATGTAGACCATACAGTTGAGCTCAATGAAGGGAACACTGAGGGCAAATATCCACTTTGCCATAGTTAAAAGCAGCCCCAGTGAAGAGGTAGCCAGTCCAGTCAAATACATTCACTCCGCCCTTCATGGTGTCTCAGGGATAAGGTTGGCCCTGCCTAGGAAGAGGCAGCTGTCTGTTGAACCAGGAGGATTAGAGCCTCTTGTTACCCTTTTTAAGTGGAAATCAATTTTATCTCATAAAAGTATAGCTTTTCATGTAGGAATGTCTTTCAGCCTTTAATTCTAAATGGTGGTTAAGGTGAGTATCCTGTAAAGAGCAGAAGGTTGAACCTTGTTTTAAAATACAGTCAGCCACTCCATCTCTATGCCTTTCAATTGGTGAATTCAAGCCATTTACATTTACATTTAATTATTGCTTCTTGGCCTTTAGCCAAGATCAAGTGTACATTTAAGGTGATTGTTGAGAATGAGTGTTTATTGCCATTTTGTCATTTATTTTTTCAGTCTTTGCCTTTTTATTTTTTGACATCTTCCTTTTACATTTTGTTTAGGTTCCACTTCCATTATCTTATTTGCTACTTCGTATTGATTTTTGTTTGAAGACTACTGAATTTGTATATGAACTGAATTTGTGGCTCAGAACAGTGTAATCTCAAACTCCTTCTGATGGGTCACATTTTTATTCTCCACATTGTTTAATTTATGTGTCTGTTACCTAGATGTATTGTTGCTTTAAATAACCCCTCCAGTACTTTCAAGTCTGGTTTAGTACCGACGTATTTTAATTTTTGTTTTTCAGCGAAGCTCTTTACCCTTCCTTCTGTCTTAAATACTAGTCTGGCTGGATAAAGTATTCTAAGTAGGCAATTTCTGATCACTCTAAGTATCTCCTCCCTCTCCCTTCTTGCCTGTAATGTTTTCACTGAGATGTTTGAGGTCAGACTGATAAATCTTCCCTTATCGGTGTTGCTCTTCTTTCTCAAACAGCTTGGTTTTCTTTTCTTCTTCTTAGCTTTCAACAGTTTGATTATAATGTGTATTTTAGTATATTAATCTGGTATTATTTGATTTGGAACTTCTTGGGCCTCTTGGATCAGGACATCAGGTTTGTTCCCCAGATTGAAGTGGTTCTCATCAATTATTTCCATAAGTAGATTTTCAATCCTTTCTCTTGTCTACTTCTGGGAGTCATTTCTGACTTTAGTGATGCAGATTTTGAAAACTCTGCAAAGTATACTTGATGATTATTCATTAGGTTAGTAAAACAGAATGCTCCTTTTTTAAAAAATTACCTTGCACAACAAAGAATAAGATATCAATATGTGAAGTATGGAGAAATGCATTTAAAAGAAAACTGGTAAAATACTACTATCTGTTTGTGTACTCACCAATAAAAGCACTATCAGATTCCAATAATGAATTTTTCAAGAAATCATTAGTGTCATCTCTGGGCTAAAAGAAACATCAAATATTAATGATTGTCTTTACTATTTTATTTATTTATTTATATTTTACATCTTTGTTCATTTTTTTCCCCCCCACAATGTTTGCTTTCTTTTCTCAGGTGTAGTCCCCATAGAATTTCCACCACCAACTCAACTAGAGCACCATCACCACAGTCCCTTGTGCTCTTCCCACCCTTGTTTTGCCCTCTCTCTCCCCCTCCCCTGCAGAATGTCTCTGATTTGTAGTTGTTTATTTTTGTTTTGTTTTGTTGTGTTTTTTATTGTTATTATATTTTTTCCTGATCCCTTGTTTGGTTCCCCTATATTCCTCCTATAAGTGAAACCTATTTCTATGTGGAAAAACAATTTGTATTAAGAAACACAATTCTCCACTCTGTCCCCCAAATTAGCAAATGATGGAGAGAGACAGAGCTACTTCCCTCCTATACCACATTCCAATGCCTAGAAAATCCAGGAAAGGCTAACAAGCATATATAACTCCCACGACTAGAGAAGGCAACAATGTGAGACAATCTCTCATGCCTAAAATTCTGACAAGCAAAGACTTCTACCTTCCTAACTCCACTCTTTTTCCCCCTTGTGGTCTAAGTTAAAGTCACATTATTGCTAATGAAAATATAACAGACTCTGAGCAGTGAATCCAATTAAACATTAAAAGTTGTTAAAGCATTGTTGAGGTTCATTCATTCTTTCAGTAAATCTGTAGTACGTCCTCCACATTAGAAAGTGGAAACATAATAAGAGTTTCTGCTCTGGTGTAGATCACAGTCCCATGGGTGAGAGAGCAGCATGACCTCAGATTATACAGCCCTGTTGTCACCATCACCAGTTCAACACCGACATCTTAGAGCACCAACAGCTACTGAGAGGAAACCCTGATCCACCTCAGCAGTACTATCATAACCTGAAAATGGGGTATTGTATTTATTTCCAAACTCAATCTTTTCCCCTAAATTCTCTCTTGTCTGTCTACTTACCAATTGTCTAATAGGCATCTCAAACTTGCCATGTCTAAAACTGAATTCCTAATCTCCCTCACACCTAAATTTGTTACCTCTGCTTCTGTACCTCCATAAACTGCAAATTCTAACCTAAAACCTTGAAGTTCAGCTTTGACTTCTGTCATATTCCACCCCACATCCAATAGGCCAAAAATCCTATCAGGTCCCCTTTCAAAGTAAACCCAACAATTCCATTGCTCCCACATCAGTTTAAGTCACCTTACCTAGATTATAGCAGTAGCCGACTCACCAGTCTATTCCTAATGAATAGCAGTTAGTGACCATATTGAGACATGGACCAACTCATGTCACTCCTCTGCTCAGAAACTCTGGAAGCTTCTCATATTCACAAAGACATAACCCTATCATGGCTTCTGAAGTTCTTCAGTCTAGACTCACCTCTCTACCTCATTTGCTCCCTTTCTCACCCTTGCTCATGACTCTCCAGCTTCCCTGGTCTTCTCTAAGCTCCTTCCATGCATCAGGCCTATTCCTGCCCAGAGCCTCTGCCTGGAATTCTTGCTCCAGATGTATTCCCCAATATTTCACATAGCCACCTCTCTGATATCCTTACACTAAGGTTAATTATTTGGTAAGGCCTCCATGCTCAAACATTTAGGTGAAAATTATTACTTTCTAGGCTTGTAACTAAATGCCTTTTAAATACTAATTAAGTTATCTTTACAGTCACCCTCAGAGGTATGTACTATTTTCTTACTTTACAAAGGAGGAAGGGAAGCTGAGATACAGATTCAATAATTTGCCTCAAGTCACACAGATAAAAACAGACTAACTTGGACTAGCTCCAGAGTGGAGTTCTGAGCCATTACAATATATTTCTCTACTAATATATGAATGTATGACTATACCTCTAGCTACACACCGTACTGTTAAGATTTAAATTCTTTCTTAATTTGGTGTTCCTGAAGAATTCAAAATTGGATTACTCACTTATTATATTCCTAATACTTTCTATGTCCCTCAAAACTGATTTAAAAAGGTATAACTGGTTTCTTACCATTCTGTGATTTCGTACTTTGGCACTTGGTACAGCATCCAAGTCAACTGTAGTCAATGGACAACAAAAACAAAAGCAAAAGGTTATAAAATGTTTAAAAACTAAAAATAAATGTTAGAATCTCTTTTGTAGCTATCTCTATTAGAAATTACTGTTCAACTATCATATTTCAAAATGTTTTTAAAATACTATTTGCTTATTAATAAATATAACCCAGTATCCATTCCAGTTGTGTAAAATTTTCCCATTCACATTAATATAAAAAGTAAAACCCATGCAAATTTAAAATTGATGTCTACAAAAAAAGAAAACATATGCAGGATTCTTCACCATATTCTCTTATATTTCTACAATCTGTATAAAAAGTTTGATGAGTAGAGTTACAGAGGGTCCCTCAATGGAACTGAAAGAAGCTAAATTACAAAAATCTGGTTCCAGAGGTAAAGATTTTAGACAGGTATCCTAAAGGTCCCTATTAAATTCTTCCTCCATCTTCCTCAGTGTTCCTCTATATAGTGCATTTTGTCCTTTTAAATGCTACCTTTGGGAATAAATAGGTTGGCAACAATAGCTTCTATTCAATAACTCATTCTCCATGGCCACCCTTAGTGGCCCAAAGGTTGGCAAAGCTGGTGAAATACATGTGAAGGTCATGCAGTTCAAATCATAAGGGTCCACCAATGTTCCTTGAGGCCTCTAGCTAGGTGCCCCACCCACTCCATCCTCAGTAACACACTCCCACACAACTCTAGGTTTCCTCCTTTGCAGTATTCATCATATTTATACTTATTTAACCTCTAGCTTCTCCAATAGAACATAAGCTTCTGGAGAGCAGTAGTGTATTTCATTCATCACCATGTCTCCTAGGCCCATATTAGGAACTAAGTATTTGCTGATTTTACAAAAATATTTTCAGGGGTTTCCCTGGTGGCACAAGGGATTAATAAGCACAGCACTAGGAAGCTGTTCGCAGCCACTGCAGCACACGTTTGATCCCCGGCCAGGGAAGTGACCCACATGGTACAGCAGACCTCCCCTGACTTGCCTGCTGTTTCCCTCAGCAGTGTATTTCAGTCAGTCGGCCTGATCTGGGGAGTCTACTCTGTCTCTGGGGAGTCCTCTCACCCACCATACCTCTGGCCTGTGCCCCAGTTCTTGTATGCATAAATAAATAAATCTTTAAAAAAAAAATACTCAGATTGAAATCAATACAGAAGTTGAAGAAAGGTAACAAAAAAACCAAACCATTGATACTACCTGAAATAGTAATTATACTTTCTTACCTTCAGCACCATCTTGCATTTTTATTCTATTTAGTCTCTTCTGCTGCTCTCTTAGGAGAGCTTGCTGCTGAATCTCTAAGGTGTGATGATCTCTTGGAGGATCAGGGTACATAAATTTTAAATCAATTCGTGTTTCTGAATCTGATGCCAAAAAAAAGTTACATGCGCTTAACTAAGCTACATCTTAGTGAGATTTTATAAAACTTCAATATAAGTACAAATGATCAAATTACAAAATCAAGGAACATATATATAAATAATGGAATACCACCAAAGGACTTCAAAGTCACTATAAAAACTAAAGAACATAAAATCAATATTTTTTAAATAAATGCCTTTTCACAAGTGAATCAACATTATAAGGAAGCCCCCAGACAAGCAGCAGATAAATGCACTGTTGATCCCACCTGTCCTCCTCTCCAGAGACGATATGTAGAAAAATGCAGCAAGACCAGTATCTACAGTTATATCCAGTTGGTTAATCACAAGTCTACAACTCAGGAAGCTATGATATACTATAATCACAGCTTATCCCTAAAATACACTGGAAAAGTGAAAATACAGGACCTTCCAGGTGACCTAGGGGTCAAGTCTCAGGGATCACTGCTATGACTTGAGTTCGATTCCTAGCCAGAGAGCTAACCCACATATGGCACAGCACACCTCTCGTCTCTCCCACTGCTCCCCTTAGCAGTGTTTTTCAGGAAATCTGCCTGTTCTGTTCCCTACTCTGTCTCTGTGAATCCTCTCACCCTCTCCCGCTACATCTGGCCTACACCCCAGTTCTTCACACACACATGAAAGTGAAAACATGATGATATCAGCAATTACTATTTTATTTTTTTAAAGATTTATTTATTTATATTTTATTTATTTATTTATTTATACATGCACTGGGTACAGTCAGAAGCGCAGGAGGGTGAGAGAATTCACCAGAGCCAGAGCGGGGAGCAGAGCAGGCAGAAGGACCGAAGTACACTGCTGAGGGGAGCAGCGGGCGGCAGGAGAGGTCTGCGCGCCATGCGGGACCCTCCTCCAGTGGCCGGGGAGCAGCCGGGGATCGAACCAGCGCTGCAGAGGCTGCGGGCAGCTTCGCAACCCAGGGCTCAACCGCTGCGCCACCAGGGAGGCCCAGCAATTACTATTTTAACTCTTGCATGTTATCATACAAAGAAACAAGATAAATGCAGACTGGCCAAACTGTAATTACTAGAGTAAATGACTGTCTAAAAATTTACCCATGCCACAAATTCAAGAACATCAACTGATTAGAATGAAGATGTTAAAACTAATTTTTAAAATCTAGAGAACAAAAATGTAGTTCATTCATGTGAAAAGCCTTGAAAATATTATTCCCTTTGATCTATTTACTAAGTGTGCTGCTGGGATAAAATTTAACAGAGTGATCCTAAATATATATAAAAAATAGCATAAATAACAAAAAAAAAAAACTATGGTATATGTAATATAACACTTGTCTAAGTGAAAAAAAAAAAAACAAAAGAAAATTAAATAACATAATTATTTTACTTTTTTCAGAAAGAAGGCTTAGAAAACATCCAAAATATCAGTATTTATATTTAGGCAGTTTGGTTAAAGTGACTTTTTTTTCTATTGTTCTGTATTTTTAAAAACTTTATAAAATAGATAATACCTTGAAAAAGGAGAGAAGTCCAAATTTTAGTTTATCTGGTTATGTCATATGACCACATATCCAACATCTGCCTCCTCTACTGCTGCTGAATGCTTTTTTTTTTTTAAAAAAAAAGATTTATTTATTTATTTTTATACAAGCACGGGTACAGTCAGAAGTGCAGGAGGATGAGAGAATTCACCAGAGCCAGAGTGGGGAACTGAACAGGCAGAAGAACCAAAGTACACTGCTGAGGGGAGCAGGGGCGTGGCAGGAGAGGTCTGTCGTGCCATGTGGGACCCTTGCCAGCAGCTGGGGATCAAACCAGCACTGCGGAGGCTGCGGGCAGCTTCACAGCCCAGAGCTCAACCACTGTGTCACCAGAGGAGGCCCTGAATGCTCCTTTTTAAAAAAATTATATATAACACGTATTTAATTCCCTCTACACATTTTTAGTCCCCCAGGACTCTATGTACCTTGGCAATCCTATTTCCCTCATAAGCCTTCTTTCCTATTCTTCCTAAGTGATTACATCAAATCATCTCTACTCTTTTGCTTCAGATCTATTTCCTCCTCCCTATTCGGGAACCCTACTCTCTTCTACAGTCATTCCCTGCCTCCCTCTCTTATATCTTAAACCTCTTCCTCCTGTGAGAGCTCTCCACATTAGCATCCTAACAAGTTCCTTGAGCTCCACAACTCCTTTCCTTCCTATCCAAGCTAAGGATTGTCTTCCAAGGATTATCTTATGTTTATTGCCTCTGATATTCTGCCTCCTATTCAATCTTCATTTCAAGTTAATTGACTTCTCATGCTGACTGAGTTGAAGTCACCACCTAAAAAATCCTAGCTGAGGCCACCTAGGACCTCTACGCCAACTAACACTTACCCCCTTACAGGATTCCCTTCTTCTCAGTACACTCTTCTCAGCCCATATTCTCCTACTTTTCCTCTAATCACTCTGATTTTTCCTTCCCAATCTCTGTCCTAAACTTTTTTCCTCTGTTCATTCTTTAAATGCCACAGCATTCTATATAATCTAATTAGCTCTCTTTAAAAATGACATGCTACCCAAAAGAAAATAGTAAAACTAAGGCTTCATTTACCAGATTGGTAAATAGAAGAGCTAAAGTATACAAAAGTTTCATGCATCATCACTTAAGATAAATACAAATTTTTACATTAGAAAAAGGAAGCAAATGTCTTTAAAGATATTTAAATATGGATAAAACACTCTTATTGTAGCTTTAAAATAGCATTCTACTTACCTCTATCCTTCAGCTCATTAAAGTCATGAATATTCTGAAAAGTAATAGGGTCTAAGCCCTTAGGTGATTGTCTTCTGACAGGGGCTTGTAACCGATGTCTAGCCATGTCAAATATATCCATGGGATTCCTTTCTCTTTTCCTATAGATAGATGACAAATTATGGTAAATGTGTCTTATAAGAAAAAGGGGCCTCCCTGGTGGCGCAAGGGGTTAAGATGCTGGCAACCTATGAAGCTATCTGCAGCCACTCGAGTTCAATCCCCTGCCAGGGAGCTACCCACATGATGCAGCAGACCTCTCCTAACTGGCCCATTGCTCCCCTCAGCAGTGTATTTCAATAAATCCACCTGTTCTGCTCCTCATTCTGTCTCTGGGGAATCCTCTCACCCCCTGCACCTCTGGCCTGTACCCTAGTTCTTGTATGCACAAATAAATAAATCTTTTTAAAAAAGAAAATTTGAGTTTACATTTAACTCCTTGGTATCTTTCACAAGAGTGTTAAAAAATTTATTCTGTTATTTTAATTCCATATATAAAAAATAAGACACTTATAAGGTCATTGTAATCATACAAAATGCTCAAATTGCCTTATTAGAAGAGTAGAATGGTTGAATTTTACCTTAAAATTGTTCAAGTAATAGAAAGATCATACTCCTTGGGATGAGATAAACCAAGATTCAAAGATCAGCTTTGCTAATTTAGCAGTTTGACCTGGATTTCATTATCTATAAGAAGTAGAAAATGTCTATTCCTTTTAGTCTTGTTTTGAGCATGAAAATTAAGTGAGATTACATACATACCAAGCATAGTACCTGACATGAAATTAGGTACTCAATAAATGTTGTCTTCCCCTCAGCCTAAATTAGAAATTATAAAGCAATATATAGTATTAATATGCTGCCCAATACAATGGGTATTATCTACAGTCCCCAACACTAACTTACAATGTTCCTTTTAAAGAAACTCGATAGCTAATTAATAAATTAATGCTATATTTCTGGGGTACCTAGGACATTTACATACTAGGCAGATTGCTTAGTAAGGTAGTGTTCTGCTAGGGTTTTAGAGGAATAACAAGAGAAAAAAGGGATGAAGAGTGGTAGCTCTAACCCTGAAAAGAAAATAAAACCAAGTTACCTTTCACTGCTCCCCTCTATTATTGACAATGTAGCCCTAAGTCACAGGTATAAAAGAGTTGTCCAGACTACTCTCTTCATTATTCACTAGATCTTGCGGAAGCATCCAAACAGGAATAGCTGGGACCCCAACAGGACTATGGGATCTATGCCCTGTTCTCTTGGAGTTTCATTGCTGGGGAAAGGATTCACCAGGGCCACAGAATTACCTTATCAAGGGTGACATAGAACTCAAACTGTGAACCACTCAGGACAATAGGTACTATAAAGTCACTAAAATAACAAAACAAACACTAAAAAGGCTTCTAAGAGGCCATTAAATTGGACTCCATTAACAGTAGTAATTAAATAGGTTGCTAAGTTATGAATTAATTAGATCTTTGCATGTGAACCGATTCATGTTTGTTTTGTGCCTAGTATATAACAGAAACTTAAGAATGTGGTGAGACAAAAATCAACTCAAAATGGATTAAAGAACTAGACATAAGACCTGAAACCATAAAATATATAGAAGGAAATATAGGCGAAACACTACGTGATTTGCACATCAAAGACATCTTTACAGACACATCACCCAAAGCAGTGATAGTGAAGGCAAAGATAAACAGCTGGGACTACATCAAATTAAAGAACTTCTGCACAGCAAAAGAGACAATAACAAAAACAAAGAGAAACCCCACCAACTGGGAGAACATTTTTGCACACAACACTAATGATAAAGGACTGATCACAAAAATCTGCAAAGAGCTGATGAGACTCAGCAACAACAAAGAAAATAACCCAGTCAAAAAATGGGCAGAAGAGCTAAAAAGAAACTTCTCTGAAGAGGAAATGCAAATGGCCAACAGACATATGAAAAAATGTTCAACATCACTTGTAATCAGGGAAATGCAAATCAAAACTACCATGAGATACCATCTTACACCAGTGAGAATGGCACATATTAAAAAAACTAGCAACAACAAATGTTGGCCAGGTTGTGGAGAAAAAGGAACTCTTCTGCACTGTTGGTGGGAGTGCAAACTGGTCCAACCACTATGGAGAGCTGTGTGGAGATTTCTGGACCTACTAAACATAGAGCTTCCATATGATCCAGCAATTCCACTCCTAGGTATTTACCCAAAGGACACAGAAACATCAATTCCAAAGAACACCTGCACCCCTATGTTTATAGCAGCACTATTTACAATAGCTAAGCTTTGGAAACAGCCCAAATCCCAAAAATAGATGACTGAATCAAGAAGATGTGGTACATATATACCATGGAATATTACTCAGCATTCAAAAAAGATAAACACATGCAATTTGCAGCAACATGGATGGCGCTGTAAGGGATCATGCTCAGCGAAATAAGCCAAAAAGAAAAGAAAAATACCAGATGGTCTCACTCATAGCAGGAATCTAGAAAACTTAAATAAGGGACCAGGAAAATGAATATAAGAAAGTGAAAATCAAAATCAACAAAAATTATGAACCAGAGACACTTTTTGGGGGGTGGGGGCCGGGAGGGGAGGGATTGGGGTCAGAATGGGGCATTTGCAATTGTATGGGGGAATATAAAAATAAAATTTATTATTTAAAAAAATTAAAAAAAAAAAAGAATGTGGTGAGAATGAATAAAATTTTTTGGTGAAAATATTTATAATGTTGATTAAAGAACCAACTCTGGGCCTCCCCAGCAGCACAACGGGTTGAGCGCAGTGCCATGAAGCTGTCCACAGCCTCTGCAGCATGAGTTCGATTTCTAGCCGGCTGGGGAGATACCCACATGGCATGGCAGACCTCTCCTGTCCTGCCCACTGCTCCCCTCAGCAATGCTTTTGGTCCATCTGCCTGTTCTGCTCCCCGCTCTGTCTCTGGTGAATTCTCTCACCCTCCTGTGCCTCTGGCCCGTACCCCAGTTCTTGCATAAATAAATCTTTTTTTTTTTTTTTTAAAGTAGACTTTTTTTTTTAGATTTATTTATTTATTTATACAAGCACTGGGCACAGTCAGAAGCACAGGAGGGTGAGAGAATCCACCAGAGCCAGAGCAGGGAGCAGAGCAGGCAGAATTACCGAGGCACACTGCTGAGGGGAGCAGCGGGCGGCAGGAGAGGTCTGCGCGCCATGTGGGACCCTCCTCTGGTGGCCGGGGAGCAGCCAGGGATCGAACCGGCGCTGCAGAGGCCGTGGGCACCTCGCAACCCAGCGCTCAACCGCTGCGCCACCGGGGAGGCCCAAATAAATAAATCTTAAAAAAAAAAAAAAAAACAACTCTGAGAAGTTTCTAATCATGATACATATTTAAAATCATAACAAAGTAAATATACCTAAGCAATTCTTCCTAAATGATAGTAATTCTAACGTATATTACTTAAACTTAAGTTAGAATACAGCATTTGCAAGGTACTTTTAAATACATAATTTATTATTCACCAGGTTCTCATGGGGTAGAAATTATTATATACCATTTGCAAATTAGAAAACTGAAACACCTGAGTTTTTTCTTAAATTTAATATGACTTGCCAAAAAAAGCAGTCTTCAATTTATGAATGAAAATAAATAAAACGTTAATAATCCACTATGCTGAATTTATACATATGTTTAGAATATAGAAAGCACAATAGTTAAGGTATTTATAATAAAATTAAATACAGAAAAACTATACTAACCTCTCAATTACTCAGAAATAGCTGACCTACTATAGAAAAATTATTCATTAAAAATTACAACCTTGCACTAACATTTCATTATCTAGCTAGTTTATATCCTGAACTTTCCTCACTTGTTTACTTAGCCAGAACATGCTTAGAGAACACCAACAAAAAAATCCAAAGAATATTAGGCATGCTACATTAAAATTCTACCACATAACTGGATTAGAGTCAGAGACATCAGTACTAACTTAATATAAATACAAATTGACATAAACACTGAAAAGTATAGATGGTGTACATACTTTAACTGTCCATTAAGAGGGGCTAGAAGCAATGATCCCCAATAGCAACAGGCATACCCAGCACCCAGGGTTTGGTTTCTAAATACCACTCCCAAGAGGAACCAGGACTCCTTGGTGGAATGTCTGATTCTAGGGCTGGGGAAGGGGAAATGTAAGATGATCCTGAAGCATCTTGTAGTACCAGAAAGAAAGGAAGTGCTTAAAAAAACAAAAGGATAGTGACATGTCAGACACAGGAGCCAACATGAAAGAGCTCCCAATGGTCAAAGTTGCAAAAACTTTGAGCAGTAAAATAATGTATTACAGGATTATAACCCAAAGTACAAAATAAATACATGAGACAACAGAGACAGTAATAAATTGTTGAATAAATCACTGAAAGGGACAAATCTCTCTTATAAAAGAATTCTAAATAATTTATGTAGATAATCCCTCCCCAAGAGATGGACCTAATTCCATCACCTCCTTGCTCGCCCAAGTATGCTAGACTTAATGATTCCTGCCCAAGGAACAGTAACTCTGTAGAGGAGAAACCTGGAAAATTCTACTTTAACCAAATGATAGAGGTTCCCATCCCCATGATGTAATGTTGTTATTATATACCTCCTGATACTGAGATAGAAAGAATCCTGGGACATTAAGAGGACAGGACAGGACAAAAGACAAAATTTTGTTTTTCCATGGGTATGGAAACAAGAGGCTAAAAACCTGATGAGACTACCTGCTGCAATAAACTTTTTTGGCCCATTGGGTTTTTTTTTTTAACTAATTTTTTCCATTCCTGAGCTATCTTTCCATAGCTTATTAAGTTGGTTGCTATGGGTAAAGGGGAATTATAGACCCTGTTCAAACCGGAGCTATGTGCAGACAGCTTCCATGACAATAACAAGCCCTTTATAACTATGGAGCTGTAGCTGACTGGTGTCCACAAATAGCAACAACAAATCAACTTTACACAAGTCCACTCTTCCTGTTTTCTCAATCAATGAAGTTTATTTCCCCTGTTTTCAAACCCCATTTAAAAAGCCAATATAGGGCCTTCCTGGTAGCGCAAGGGGTTAAGCACAGCACAGTGAAGCAATCCACAGCCTCTGCAGCACAAGTTCGATCCCCAGCTGGCCAGGGAGCAACCCACACGTTGCAGCAGACCTCTCCTGAGTCACCCGCTGCTCCCCTCAGCAGTGTACCTCAGTCGATCTGCCTATTCTGTTCCCCACTCTGTCTCACGTGAATCCTCTCACCCCTCAACACCTCCGGCCTGTACCCCCCAGCTCTTGTATGCATAAATAGATAAATCTTAAAAACTAAAATAAAATAAAAAGCCTATATAGGTCCGTAGCTCCAGCACTTTGGGGAGTCTGTCTTGCTCTTTTGCTAATCAAGAAAAACTAACTCCTTGCCTGACCTCACCAGTATGTAAAAAAAAAGAGTCCTCTTTTTAATCTTGACCAGAGGATCTCAAGAGCCCTTTTCCAACTTGTGAGCAGGAACTCCCTCGTCCTGAGGGTGGATCAGTGTACAGTGGCTGGTTCACTCCAGCTTATCCACCTGTGTTACTGAAGGTTGAAAGGCTTCAGACCCCACTCCCTTGTTCAGAGATAATACGATGTGATTAGAAGGGCACAACTGTGCTAGTTTTTCCAAAACCTTAACCCCTTTCTAATCTTAAGAAAACACCAGAAAAACCCAGGTTAGGGAACATTCTACAAGATATCTGGCCAATATTCCTCTAGACTGTCACAATCAAGAAAAAGAAGGAAAGACTGAGAAACTTTCCCAGACCAGAGGAAACTAGGAGTCATGACAATTAAATGCAACGCAGTAACCTGATCATTTGTATTGACTAGATCCAGAAACAGAAAAAAGAAACTATTGGAAAACCTGGAGAAATCAAAAAGTATGGAATTTAGTATTAACATTCCGATGTCAGCCTCTTATTTGTGACTGACCCTGTTAAAGATGGTAACATTAGAGAAAACAGGGTGAGAGAATTCTGTACTATGTACTCTATGGAAACTGTACTAGATAACTTTTCTATAATTTAAATTATGACAAAATAAAACTACTTTTTTCTTAAAAAAAAAAAAAAAAGAACACTTTAAAGAAAGTATAGCAGTTACCCACTACATTAATTTTAAAACCTACTAAAATTTTGAAGAATACTGCTTTAGAAAATTTACAAGTCTTCTGGCAAAAGAAGGATCAGAAATTTTTGGTAGTTTTAAGTTATTTTGCTGTAAAGTAAGTACTTAGAGAAACAATACATTATTGAAGTGCAAAATTGCCTTAAAATGAGATCATGTCATTATTCCAACTCTGAATTTTTTCATTCCTATAGCTTTTTTCCCTAAGGACTAAATTTCTACACCTGATTTTACAGAAGACTAAAAAAGAAAGGAAGGAGATTTTTTTTTAGAACTGCGTAGTCTCTCACTTTGTTTTGTTTCAACAATCTCCTTTCTTGGCTTTCTTTATCACTTAAATAGCTTAAAAAACAATTTCTTATCCTTTTTTCTTGTGTATTTAAGGTCTCAAATAAGTGAATTATTTTCCATCCATTGATTTCTGTAGAGAGACAATCTATCCTAAAAGACAGCTTGAAGAATGTCCTGCTCCCAATTACTATTTTTCACTAAGTCTAATCCTATTAAACATTTCATGACTAGGGACAGTATTTTTCTTTTTTCTTCAAGAAAGTACTCCTTTTCTTTTTCTCCCTACCTCCCTCTCTTAATCCCTCTGTCACCACTACCTTCATCATCAATTCCATAAATAAATTATTGGCAGTACAAAAGGAAAATAAAATGATCAACTTAAATATTTCATGTCAGATTAAATATTCATTAAATACCCAATATTTTCACAGTGAATATGTTCAACAATTGTGGATAAGTTCTTATGAAGGCAATTTTATAAACATAAGAATAAATATGAATCAAAAAACATTGGTTAAAGAAAGGGCTGTTTTACAAAAAAAAAAAAAAAAAAAAAAAGGTGGGTGGTAGGAGATCAGGGAGAAAATTCAAAGAAAAGCTACCACATACTATAAATACAAATAGACTATTGTGGATTAGCTACATTGAGTCCCTACACTAAAATTTAATTATTTAGCTAGATTTCTTTTGGGGGAAAAGACTATTCTGGTCATTACAATTTCACCAACAATCTGCTAAAATCTTTTTTAACAGACAAGCTATCTATTCTAATATAAATTAATCCTATTCCAAAACTTTTGAGTTATTGGACAGGTCTGACTGACACAGGAGTCTTTATCCTGACCAAAAAGAATTCAGGTAGAAACAAAAAATGCAATTCAAAACTTGCCTTATATGAATTTCATCATCACTGTCCATGTGTAGCAACCGCCCTTGTAGACGCCGCTCTTCACTACGAAGTTGTTTTCTCATTTCTGACAATTCCATAATTACATTTTTTTTCTCTTCTGCAAATATCCATTGATAAGTAAAAAAAGACAGACATAAGAACAAATGAATAAACATTAAAGCATAACCTAACATAAAGCTAAAATGCTTAGAATCAACTTAATGAAAGATTATTTTTTAATGTTTTATCTACAGATCATATTTATGAGCATCAAACTCAAACATATTGTGATAATACAGGAATTTCAAAAGTTGAGAAATATTCTTGGGGGCAGGAGGTAATAAATGCAACTGTAAAAGAGCAGCACAACACATTCTTTGTGGTGAGGGAACAATTATGTTCCTTGATTATTTAGAGGTTACAAAAATCATATATGATTTAAAATGCACAGAACTACACATATACACAAACACACAAATGAGTACATGCAAAAACTGGTGAAACCTGAGCAAGGTTAACAGACTGTATCAACGTCAATTTCCTGGTTGTAAGATGTTACCAATGAGAGAAACTGAGGGAAGGCTAAGCAGGCACTCGCTTTACTGTTTTTGCAACATTTTGTGATTCTTTAATTATTTCAAAATAAAATATTACAAAGAGAAATATTACAAGAAAGATAGTAAGTTTACTCTACCTTCTGCACGGAGCTGATTTTTCCTGGCAGGTACTGGAGGAGACTGTGCCCTAGATAGGGAACTTTCCTGTTTAACAATGATGACAAAAATATGAGTATGTCTATCAACTTAGAAGGTTGAAAAAGGGTAAATATTTGAAGCAACTACATGGGAAAGAAATCAAACTCCACACTATGTTATATATAAACTTACCTGTATCTATTTTTCCACCCAATTGTAAATGGAAGAATCTTGTCCTATCCCAAAGTAATCCCTTCACTTGCATGCTGTACCATAAGTGATTCCAACCTATTCCAACAATTTATTCCTTTTCTTCTACTGCTTTCTCTCTTCAAGCACCCTTCTCTCAGCTTTGTTTAAAAATCTTTTCTTTAAAAAAAAAAAAAATCCTACCTATCCTTTTTTCACACACTATCATCCATTCTTTCTCCTTTTCTTCACAGTCAACCAAGCTTCTTTAAAGAATAGCTAATGTGGTACTTTCGGTGTCTACACCTCCTTATTGCCATTCACTTCTCACCCCACAGCTACTGCCATTGCTTCTGTGGCCCATCTTTCCTCTCACACTTTTCTCACTGTCACAAAGTGATCCTCAAGTAATACATTCAATGGGTATTCTTCAGTTATTTCACTGGCCACCAGCAATCAATAATATTAGTACTGTCACTTTCTCTGCCTCTATGTCTATTTTATGATTCTTAAATTTAGTAATCTTCAAGTGTTCCAATCTCAGCCCTCATTATTTTCCCCAAACTCATTCTAGACAACTGTACTACTTTGATAAACACCAATGTTAATGGCTCCCAAAATTATAAATCAATTAACAGGTTGTGCTTCTTCAAGCACAACCTACATTTTCAAACACCTAGTCTTTGTAACTCTCACCAGACACTTGTCACTAACTCCTACCCAACAAATACACAATCAATAAATACCACTATTTGTGTCTCTTAAACATATTTTGTTAGGTATCCACTAGCCTATAGAATGAAGTCAGACCTCTTAGCACCCTATACAACACTGTACTGAAGTTCTGACCTACATCTCCTCTGTCACCTTCATCAAGCAATAATGGGTTACACCAAAACACAACGCATTCTCCATGTGTGCCATGCAGCTTACACCTCCCTCTGTGATTTCTGTGTAAGTTAAAGAACTCCTCTTTCACCTTTCTTCTCTTTATTGCAAATTTTTACTTATTCTTCCAGAGTCAATGCAAGAATCAATGCTTTTGGACCATTTTCTTGGCTCTTTTTTTGGTTGTAGATTGGTCTAAAGAATAGGGGACTTCACTAGCATATCTACAGTTAAAAGAGGCCACCTTGAGGGGCCTGGCAAAAAATCTCAAAATTAAGTTTTGTCAAGAAAATTTAAACTTTGGGTACCAAGTACTATCAGTTACAACAGAAGCGACAAACTAATTTAGACATTATCTAAGTTTCAGATTTGAAATAATTTAATAAAGCTAAGAATGACGAATAAGAAAATCTTACTCAATTCCCCCAAACCAAAATAACTGAGTAAAGGTTTAACAAATCAAAAGAAAAAGGACATTTGAATAAAGGAATACACTGAATAAAAGAATATACTTGAATAAAGGAACTTATAATGCTGTCAACTGAAGGAGGTCTTTGGAGTTTGCTTGCAATTTTGTTCTGAAGAGCAGGAACTACAGGAGATGGCTGTCTCACACGCTAAAAAAAAAAAAGAGAAAAATTAAAAATAGACACACATACACACACACACACACAGATAAAAGTACAAAAAAACACATATGTATAAATATATACAGATGCACACACACATACACACACATATATGAATGTGGTTCAAATGTCAACTGCATCCAAATCCCTGGATAAAATGCAGATTCCTGGACTGCCCTCAGACTTAATAAATCAGACACTTTGTAAATGAAACCCAGTAACTTGCACTTTTAATAAGTCTCAAATGATACTTATGCATAGAAAAATTTTTTAATGTACCTTTGAAATATGAGCAAAGGGCCAATTTGTTTTCAAGAGAGAAAATCTCTAATATCTTTGAAACATGTACCTAACCATGAACATCCCCCTCTATCTCAGAAATGTGGACTTCAAATCAGTCTATACTGAGCCACCAGTTACTTTTTTAATTTTCAATCCATCATAGAAAAGTGTGTAAAATAGAGTTAGGAATGAATTATGTAAATAAATGAAAAGAATTTTTAAAGTATTACAAAATTCAAGCCCATCTTCTGTGTCCTCCTCTATTTGTTTTAACAGTATTTGTGGTAACTTCCCTTGTATAGGTCTTTCACCTCCTTTGTTAGGTTTATTACCAGCTATTTAATTTTGCAAGCTGATCATAGATTTGAGGTATACAGCACGGTTGGGGGAGAAAGAAGGGTCAAATGAGGGGAGGGGGCCCTCCCTGGTGGTGCAAGGGGTTAAGACGCAACCTATGAAGCTATTAGCAGCCACTGAAGCATGAGTTCGACCCCTGGCCAGGGAGCTACCCATATGGCGCAGAAGACCACTCCTGACTCGCCCACTGCTCCCCTCAGCAGTGTATTTCAGTCAATCTGCCTGTTCTGTTCCCCACTGTCTCTGGTGAATCCTCTCACTCCCGACACATCTGGCCTGTACCCCAGTTCTTGTATGCATAAATAAATCTTTTAAATAAAAATGAGGTGAGGGAAGAGCACAAGGGAATATGATAATGGTTCACGGGTGCTATGTGGTAGGAGAGAACTATGGGGACTACACCTGAGGAGAGAAATCAGACATTGCACAAAAATGAACAATGATGTTAGAAAATAAAAATAATAATAAAAAGAAATCAGAAATAAATTAGTTTGAAAGTAAAAATAAATTTAAAAATTCAAGCCCAACTTATCGGTAGATTCAAAAGACATAAATTTACTTTAACAAACTGTTAGAAAAGTTTCCAAAAATTCACAATTTCTGTCCTTATCATGAATGGTTTATGGGGCTGGTTCATACACCATGGAGAAGACACTCACATAAAGCTAAGGTAAAGTAAGCCCATTACACTAACTGGGTAAAAAGCATATAGGAACTTGAGCACCCTTCAATCTGATGGTGCAGTAAAACAGGAGGAAGTGAATAAAAGCACCTCCTTTACTTTCCCCGTTATGCTACAGCTCAGTAACTCCCACGGTGTTGTTAAAATATGGGCTTGTCATTTCTGTCAAACTTACTTTGGTTTCTTCCCCAATCATATTTTCTCTTTCATAATAATGCTGCAGTTGTAGGTTATGTCTTTCTTCTTCTTCTTTCTTCTTTTTTTCTGCTTCTTTTCGTCTCTCTTCAGCTAACCGAATAAGTTCTTCATTTTTTAGCCTTTGCTTTAAAATAAAAAGAAAGATGTATGCTCCATATATATAGACTACAGTCCATTAAAAAAAATCTGCTGTCTTATTTGTCTGATATAAAGAGATAAAATTGAAGATACAGTGTTCCTGAACATAAACAAGCTGATAAACAATGAAATATTAGGCAACTTTTATAATATGCTTTAGTCAGTGTAAATTATTTTTTGGTTTAGAAAACATTTATCTTTTTTCTTTGTCTTTAATAAAATAATATCCAAAGAATGGATAGTAACCTCATATTTTCCGAATATACTTTCTTTGTAAGCAACATATATCTTTTCAAGTCAAATTATTTCACTAAGTGGAAAATAGAATGGGGGGGGGAATGCACCTCCTCCTCCTTCTCCCTTTTTCTTTCCTGTTCCTCTTCATACTCTTGTTGAATTCGTGCCCTCTGTTCTGCAAGTCGTTTCTCTTCCTTTTCTTCTGCAATTCTTAGTCTCTCTCGCTCTGCTTCTTCTCTCTGTTTCTTTTCCTCAATCTAAGGAATTAAGACGAGTGATTATTTTCTAAAACCATTGAAAAGTCAGAAAAATCACTTAATTTTTCCCATTGTCATGAGTTCAAATTTATACCATTTTTTGCAAGTAAAATACATTCCTAAATTTTCCAGCTTTCTATACTTTATCAGGGAGGCTACATGATGTAATGACAAGAGCTAGGAATAAAATTCCACCATATAGCTGCAGACTGTATTACCTTAAGGAACTTTCTCCTACCACTTTCTAATTTGGTAAAAGGAGTTATTAATGTCTATATCCCAAAGGAATACTCAAAGAACTGAAGCAAAACCATGTAAACAAAAAGTCCCTCCTATATAGAAGGTACTCAGTAAATTATGATATTATTCTATAGTGATTGCTACTTTTATATCCCAAAGTTCCTTGGCCTAACTAAACATCCTGACTAAATATCCTTACTAGAAACCAGTATTTTAACATTCAATCATTCTTTATGTGAGGATCTCTTCTCTAGAATGCCTTTTCTTCTTTCATGTTATTATAAGCACTATACCACAGGGTCCTTCTCAGGTTCAGTAACTATGATCTTCAATCTGCTGCTGCCTGACTTGAGTGGCCAATATTCTTGGCACCTTTTGAGTCCACTCTCTAAGATTATTATCTCCATTATTTTGGTAGGACCTTAGGTCTTTTCACCCATTCCCACTGCCACTACCGTAGTAAGATAGCCCTGGTTTATAATCTTTTAAGTCCTCCAGCATTACATCCTAAACACTAATGTCTGAAAAAGCTTCCTTTAAGAATACAGCCATTAGGTCACTGCCTAATTTAAGAGTCCACAATAATTAGTATTAAAAGATGACATGTTTTGGATGGAGCTAGAAGGAATTATGCCCAGTAAAATAAGTCAGAAGAAAAAAGAAAAATATCAGATGGTTTCACTTATAGGAGGAATATAGGGGAATCAAGTAAGACATCAGGGGGAAAAAATAATAACAATACAAAACAAAAACAGACAGACAATTATAAACCAGAGACATCATGCAGGGGAGGGGGAGGGAGAGGGTTCAGAGGGAGGGAGAGGAGGGAGGAGCACAGAGGACTGTGGTGATGGTACACGGGTGAATTGGTGGAGGAAATTCTATGGAGATTACATCTGAGAAAAAAATAAAGCTATACTCCCCCCACCCCCCAGCAAAAAAAAGATAACATGTTTGAGTAGACTCTCTTTTTAAGAGGAACTTAAGAGGGAGGGGTTAGACTGATGATTTTAAATAACTTTTCTGTAGAAAAGTTATTACTAGGTTTTGAGTAAAAAAGAGTAACACATGAGAATAAACAGAAGATTAACCAGACCACAGGATTAATCTACCCAGGAATACAGATATAAGCGTGAAGGGGAGGAGAAGTAAGGAGAAAAGAAATTTTGAGTCTCTTATGAGCAATCTTTCTTCCATCTCAGGTTCCATCTCTAGCATTCAGTACAAGGATGGAGTTCGGTAAGTAGGCATGCTTTATAAACACTGGCATCTCTACTATTTTAAGTGTTAATTGTTTACATATATAGAGAAAATAATTGCAAGATGTAATTACATCTAATTTTTATTTACGATCTATATATTACTGAGTCAAGACATCAAATACTTTTGAAAAAAAATAATTTTCTACTAACATATAAGCGTCTAGAAAAATTCATCCTATGCTTAATGGATGATTATTTCAATAAATCTCTCAAATTTTAGCAACTTCAACATTTTAATACTAATAATGATTCCATAAAGTTAAAAAAAAAAAAACAAGCTAACTTATATCCCCTTATTCCCTTTTAGATTTAAGTGAAATAATATGACTTTAGTACTACATAAAGCTTCATATTTATAAATTAGACATTTTATACAGTTGCATGACATTTTAAAATCTATTCTTTATACTGTGTAAATTTTTCCAACTGTAAAAATTTGAAACTGTGATCAAGTAAGGACTTCACCTGAAAACGAAGAAAATTTTTGTATAATTCTTGCTGTTTAATCTGAAGTTCAGTTGGAGGCTCACTAAATATATTTCCCCGAGCAAACGGTGAGCTTTGTGTTTGCATATGACCTTGAAAGAGAAATTTTATAAAAAACACTATTAGTAAATGCTAGGAAAATGTAAAGATTAAAGAATGAAGAGTTGGCTGATAAATTCATAGCTTGAAAAAATATGGTAAATACAAAATTCAAAGGTTAAAATCAGAAAAGTAAGTTTGAGATTAGAATTTGAAGACCAGATTAAAAGTAACAATAGAAAAATGGTGAAACAAAAATAGTTAAAAAAATTATAACATATATATCAAGACATTAAAACTAATAGCCCAAAACAATTCTCATTGTGACAAAAGCTTTAAAATAAAATTTATGAAGAAGAAAAAAAGTACATGTTTAAGTTCTTATGTATGTACATATTCTTTTCTTAAGAATACTGCTTAGTTATATAATGTGTTATGTATATACAAATATAAAAATTTTTCTAAGGTTGTCTTAAAAAATTAGTAATTCCAAGTCTTTCATTCATGTTACTTCAAACCATAGAAAGTCAACTCTAAAATCATTTTTTATGATTTTACAAATTAGTATGAGTCTTTTAATCACTGCAATAATTTCTATTTAAAAAGGTTACCATGGATACTATGGTGGTGGGAGTACTATGGGACTATACCTGAGTGCAGAAATCAAACACTGTACAAAAATGAACAATGATGTAAGAAAATAAATAAATTTAATAAAATTAAAAATAAAAAGGTTACCAAATTAATGGGATACAAACATAAGCAATAAAAATGGTATGTATTACCTATAAATAGTATTACATACTTTAGGAAAGAAAAAATTATTTCAGAAAAGCAACCTGAAAAATAACTATACCAATGAAATCTTTCTGAATGCAGAAAAAAATTAAAATTTAAATATTAAAATCACACAACTTTTTATATCATTATGTAGCTACTGACTCTTCACAGTATCAATTTAAAGGATTTCTTTGTTCGTTTATATAGGTTGGTTGTTTTGCAGCGTTGCTGCCATTGTAGTCTATTTTGGCCTCACACTTAAATTTATTAATGATTGAGTATATCAACAAAAAGTCAAATCAAAAAGTTTAAACATTACGATCGTGTGCTATGTTGGCGAAATTAGAGAAAATATATTATTAGAGATAGACGTAAGTTCTTTTAAAATAAATAGTGGGAACACTTGCTTTATATAAAGGAAATGGAACTCTATGTAGGCATCATAATAAGGCAAAAAATAACTTTTAAGTCAAATTAGTATGAACTTCATAAAAAATGGAAAGTAAAACAAAAAAAAACAGAACATTAGGAAGGGCCTCAAAAATAGGTCGAATGAAGATAAAACATTAGATAATAAACCTTAAGTACATTATTGTAGAATTCAATTACAAATATATTTGAGGCCCCTTAAGTCCTTAAAAATATTAAATGCCATGTAAGTATGTGCACGTACATGTGTTTATAAGCACATATTATAAGCACATATTATCCATCCATACATAATACATAGCAACAAATTAGGTGAATTTGGATAATTTCTCATATTCACAACATGTATGCAATTTTGATTCACATTAAAGGGAAATTTTCACATTTTATGATTTTATATGATGTCTTTAACTACAACACCTTTGCACAAGACCAGGTCCACAACTCTGGCAGTGTATAGAAAGACTATAGACAACAAATTCTGGTATATATTGTCAAGTTTTGCTTTCTTGTGATAGGTTTATGAAAACTTTTGATTTCTCCAGTCTTTTTATTTGGTAATCAAAGCCAGATAATTATTAGTAAGACAGAGCAAGTTCTAGGCTGAGGCAGAACTACAAACAACACTGGGTGTGGGAGAAAAGAGTAGACAAGCATTCTGTAGCACTGAGATCAATACAAACCACTAGGGCAAAAAGCAAATGAAAAATTAAAATGATAATCAGAAAGAAGCAAAAATTCTCTGTTAGCAGCTATACTACGAAAATGTTTTTTGATGTTCCCACTGCACACTGAATAATTACAGACTCAAAGTAAGAGTCAAAATAACAATTACATCAAAATCAAATCTTCTGATAGCAAAAATAAAAAGCAGATCCACTGAGTAAAAATCTACTGTGGATTAAAATAAGAAAGCATTTTCTTGTAATTGGAGTTTAAACAGGTTGCCCATGGTAAAAGAAAACCACGCATCTGAAATTCTCTAAAGGGCTGCAGAGATTAGTGCTACTATCAGAGGATTGAAAGATGCAAAGGGCAGTAATTTTAATTAAAGCTCCCCATTAAATCTACTTGTTTGGCTATAAGTAATAGGGTTAAAAATGTAATTTTTAAAAGATTATATAATACATCAGAGATATAATATAAAGTTCTATTCTAAAGAAAAATCAAAACTTTTGTAGAGTACAAAAGCGGAGTTTGTAGTGAACAGTTACTTTTACATGCACTGAAACACTGCAAAGTTTTTTAAATATATAACACTTTCATATGTACTTGATAGAGGAAGATGATGACTATTTTCCTGGCAAGTCATAAAGATATTGAATAATTTTCAACTTACAGAACTTTAAATCAAAGAGTATGCTGAGCAGCAAATCAAAATATATAGGTTTACGAAAGGGGGATATCATATATTTTTTTCTCCTTTCTTCACATTTGTAAATACTCTGATATCTGGGATACCACCAGATATCAAATTAACTTTTAATTACTTCATTTCTTTGTACAATGTGGGTTTAAAGGGAGGGCAAATGATCATGAAACCAGCAAAAAAATTAACTTCATTGTATAATTTATCACACCATATCTAATAACTTTTCACTAAATCTAACTCATAGGCAACTAGTATATGTGAAAAGTCCATTTAATTTTAAGGTATGTACTCTTGCCAGCAAAATAAGTTACAGCAGCAGCTAAAATATACGTGAGTTACAAAGCTAAGAAAAAAATAGATGACATTAAAAAGCAAACCATATCTCCCTGTTCACTTCTTTCAAAATACAGTGCATGCTTCCTGATTTAAAGTAACCAAATTCTCAAAAATCAAAATAAGAACTTTGTGAGAGAATAGAAATGTTAGTGAACAACAAAACATACAAAAAATGTGATTAAAAACCTGAGTTTTTATTTGTAGAATCTTCTAGGTTCTCAGCATTTGAAGTGGCTAAATTTTGGTCTAGGGAAACAACAGCCCTTTTATCTTCATATGTTCTTGCATCTGGGTTATGGTAGGCATCTATATTTTGTTTGTGCATCCTATTCAAATCAGCTGAGGGGAAAAATAAGCCATATATTTCAATAAATACATTTCTATAGCTAACATGCTTAATACATTTTCTTAAGGTAGGGAATCAGAGAAACAATACAGCAGAGCAGGACTAATTCAATGATATTCGTGGTTTCCTGAAAACAAAAATAATCCAAATTTAAAAGGTCTTTTTTAAGTCTTATAAAATTACAAAATTAGCTTAGGTCTTATAAAAAGGTCTTATAAAAAAGGTCTTATAAAATTAGCTCAAAATTAGCAGAGAAGAATATAAAGACTTTTGAAAAACCATAAAAATCATATTCATATTTCAAAACTTAGAAGCGCTTTAATATAAAACATAGCAACATTTCAAAATAAGTCACAGTGAAATTCACTCAAAATATCAATGTTCTTAATGAAAAAAGATTAACACACTTATCACAAGCACATAAACTGAAAGAGTAAACAAAAGTCTCCCTAAGAACAAACTCCAGGAACAGACAGCTTTGGTAGTTATTTCTACCAAATCTTCAAAGACCTATCCTACCCAAACACTTAAAAAAAAAAAAAAAAAGAAGAGGGTGGAAACCTTCCTAACACACTTCATGAGTTAACTGTACTCTGATACAAAATGCTAGAGGGCCTCCCTGGTGGCGCAAGGGGTTAAGACGCAATCTATGAAGCTGATCACAGCTACCGCAGCAAGAGTTTGATCCCCAGCCAGAGAGCTACCCACATAGCTCAGCAGACCTCTCCTGACTTGCCCACTGCCCCCCTCAGTATTTCAGTCAATCTGCCTGTTCTGCTCTCCACTCTGTCTCTGGTGGATGCTCTCATCACCTGCACCTCTGGCCTGTACCCCTGTTCTCGTATGCATAAATAAATAAATCTTTTAAAAAAAAAAAACCTAAAAAGAATAGCACAGAGAAAGAAAACTATGGGCCAATATTTCTAATGAAGACAGAATCCTAGCAAACAGAATATAGTAACATATTAACAGAAAATGCCATCATGATCAGCAGGTTTCATTTCAGGGAGCAAGGCTGATTCAACATATGCTTATCAATCAATATCATTCACCACATGAACCAAAAAGGAAGATGTCACATGATCACTTTAATAGATGCATAAAATGTATTTGACAAGATTCAACATCCATTTATGATAAAACTCTCAATAAAATGGGAATAACCACAACTTATTTCAACATAATAAGTCATATATGACCCAAAGTGAACATCAAACTCACTTGTGAAAAACTGAAAGCATTTCTTCTAAGAAACAAGAAAAGGATACCCACTTTAACCACCATGGTTGAACATAGCATTAGAAGTCCTAGTGGAGCAATTAGGCAAGAAAAAGACTAAAAGGAATCAAAACTGGAAAAGATGAAGTGAAACCATCACTATTTGCAGGTGATATGATCACACAGAGAGAGAACACTAAATACTCCACTTAAAAGGCTAATTTAAACAATAAACCACTTCAACAAAAACTCAGGTTAATAAATCAATTTCCAAAAATCAGTTGCCTTTCCTACATGTGAACAATGAATAGAAGAGGAAGAAATTGAGAAAACAATCCCATTTATAATTGAATCAAAAAGAATTAAGTATCTAAGGCTAAACTTAACACAGTTAAAGAGGAAAAGAACCTATACAGTGGAAATTATAAGACGGAGTTAAAAGAAATAGAAGATGACACAAAGAAACAGAAATATATTTGTTGTTCATGGACTGGAGGAATTAACATTGTTAAAATGGCCATCTTACCCAAAGCAATATACAGACTTAATGTAATTTCTATCAAAATTTCAATTGCATTTTTCAAAGAAAGAAAAATTCCTGAAATCCACATGGAACCACAAAAGATTCCAAATATTCAAAGCAATCCTGACAAAAAAGAGGAAGAATGGTGGCCTGAGACTTTGAGACTTCAACATATACTACAAAGCTATAATAATGAAACAGGATGGTTCTGGAAGAAAAACAGACACACAGATCAATGGAACACAACTGAGAGCTCAGAAATAAACCCACACTTATGGATAGTTAATCTATGATGACAAGCCAAGAACATACACTGTAGAAAGGAAAACCTCTTCAAAAAATCATTTTTGGAAGACTGGACAACCACATGCAGAAAAATGAAACTAGACCTCTATCTCACACCACACACACAAGTCAAAATGGATAAAACACTTGGATGTAGTAAGACCAGAAGCCATAAAATACAAAGAAGAAAACAGAGGCAAAATACCATATGGTATAAGGAAAACAAAGATAATATAAGCAGCAAAGACAGAAATTGTTACTAAAATAAAAAGACACCCTACCTATTAAGTGAGAGAAAATATTTGCACACCATATATCCAAAAAGGGGCTACATTCAAGATATACAAAGAACTCATACAAATCAACAAAAACAAATAATCCAATCAAAAAATGGGCAGAAAAACCAAACAGTCACTTCACCAAAGAAGACATACAAATAGCCAATAAGCACATGAAAAAATGTTCATCACTAATCAGCAGGAGAATGCTAATCAAAACCAGAATGAGGGCCTCCCCGGTGGCGCAGCAGTTGAGCACTGGGTTGCAAAGCTTCCCGCAGCCTCTGCAGCGACGGTTCGATCCCCGGCTGCTCCCCGGCCTCTGGAGGAGGGTCCCACATGGTGCGCAGACCTCTCCTGCCGCCCGCTGCTCTCCTCAGCAGTGTACTTCAGTCCTTCTGCCTGCTCTGCTCCCCACTCTGGCTGTGGTGAATTCTCTCACCCTCCTGCGCTTCTGACTGTACCCAGTGCTTGTATAAATAAAAATAAATCTTTAAAAAAAAAAAACAGAATGAGATACCACCTCACACCCGTGAGAATGGCCCACATCAAAAAGCTCAGAAACAACAAGTGCTGGTAAGAATTACGATACATTTACAGAAAAAGACAAAGATGAGCTGAATTTAAAATGAAGCTTGGTTTTGTATTTTAGGTATACATAATCCACCAAACATTGGGTGCAGAGACACAGAAAATAGGTTTGGAAGTGAAGTAGAGAGTTTTACAGGTTGTCAGGGACAAAGGGAGAGATCTGAAAATAGTCTGCCAAGGGTCTAAAGAAAAATGTAGAAGAGATGAGGTGAAAGAAAATAAGTGGAGGGAAGAGTATATGTAATTCTAAGAACACACAATATCAGAGATAGTACTAGAATAAAGATCATGTTCACAGAAACAGATGACTTAACCTGTTTCATAAAACACATCTAATAAATATCAGTTGAAGTGAGGATAGCACCTCTGAGAATGCAAAGGACTTAAAGAAAGGAACTGTCAACCCAGTTGAAAGAGAATAGAACTAAGTGAAAATCATTAGACATTAAAACATCCATTATTTTTGAAATCAGTTGAGTGGTGGGAGCTAGAAGTCATGTGGAATATAAAGCAATAAAAGGGTGGTAAGAAGTGGTAGCAACAAGCAAAGATGATTTTTCAATGTATTTTATATGAATTATTATAGGAAGTATATATAGCAAGGTCAATAAAGAGTTTTTGTTTGCTTATTTGTGTTTAGACTACATAAGCTAAGTATGTTCAGGGGTGGCAAGGAACAAATGAGTAGAAAACAGAAAATGCAAGAAGGGACTACGTGAAATCACTGAGAGAAATGATGATTACAAAATAATTATGAGGTGCCAAGGATTAGTTAGACAAGAACTGGCTAGGTGCTCCTGAAATCACCACCAAATCTTGGAATCTATCTCAACATGGGCGGTAAATGAAACCAAAGAACAGGAATGTTGAGGTCATGAACGTCATGAACTAATAGCTATGGTCCCTGAAAAATCATAAAAGTGAAGCAAAATAACTCTAATGGGAAATCAGTATTTCCTTGTCATTCAATTCAGTAGAAATGCATACGGCTAGTCTATGTAAATAAGAAGCCACTATAAATAACAACACATACATTATTCTGAATTTTTCTATTACAAAAGTATATCAACTTCACTCCTTCCATATCAGGCCTAGAGCTCTTATTACCAAACTAGTGAGTGATTATAAAATGTAATCTTTTTGCTATTCACCTACTTAACACACAGTTGAAATAAATATCCACTTAAACTTCAAAACCAGCAACATGTTAAAATTTAGTGCTATGATTATAGTAGTGCTCTTATTAGAATACTAAATATATTTCTATAAAAGGAAAATAAAGTTCAACAGAGTACATAATTATTATTTACAATTTATGACAAATTAAGCAATCAAAACAGATCCATATTGCTTTTTATTGGGAAAAATTGATCACTCCTAGTCTATTTTTCCATGGGGTTGTAAATACCTGGTTTGAAATCAGCTAAATATGAAAACAGAAAAAGGCACATTGGTCCAAGTGCGAAAAATGTCACTGAAAAGAAGCCTTATTTCAAGTATAAATCATCAAGTCATTTAATATAAAATTGCTAGCAATACAAGGATAGTCCTTCACTAAATCATCTAGTGCTATAAACCAATGTTACCTCAATTAAAAAAAAAAGTCACACACAAAAAAATAAAACAAAGAATATTCCTACAATGGACACAATAATGAGAAAATGTCACAGATTTATAAGTGAGAAAATAATGCCATACCCTTAACAATTTATCAGAACAGGACTAAACTGACACCTACAGGTACAAACTATATAAATAGTACTTAATTTTTTATTCCTTATATCATGAATTTTATTTTTTATATATGCTAAATATTTCAAAATTTACTTTACATTTTAGTTGCTCTTTGTACTCTGGTGACAATTAGAAAATGTTTTAAAGAAAATGGCTGAGATATGTTAAGTATTATAACAGGCCCAGGATTATTCAGCAATTCATGGCTGACATACAAACTCTTAGGATGAGTCAACTTCTAAGAGGACAGAGTTGGGAAACCCTGGTGCTACTGGAAACAGATATTCAACACTAAAATAATTTAAAAGTATTCACTTACTTATAAAGATTACATTCTCTAACACAAAAATCTAATTGGAGCTTCACAAACTAAATCTTAAAAGCACTGAAACTTAAAAGCACTGAAATAATAAAAAAAAATAATGAATAAACCTTTAGATAGGCTGGATTGAAAAAAAAGAAAAAAATCACAAATATCAAGAATGAAAGGAGTCATTACTAAAGAATCTGCAGACATTAAAAGAATAAACATTATGAATAACTTCATGTTGGTAAATTTAAAAATTAGATGAAATGGATAAATTAGAAGTGATTCAAAGCACCAAAGCTCACACAAGAAGATATAAACTGTCTTTTTTTAATACATTAAGGAAACTGAATTCATAGTTTGAAACTATCCCCAAAAGATAATTCCCATCCCAGATAGCTCAACTAGAGAACTCTACCAATAAAAGAGGAAAATTCCCAACTCATGTTGTCAAACCAGTATTATCCTGTTACCAAACAACAACATTAAAAGGAAAGAAAAACAGACAAATTACCCCTGAAAGCCCAGATGCAAAAATTCCTACTAAAATATTAGCAAATCAAATTCTACAACACTTAAAAAAAGTTAATACAGTAAGAACAAATAGGGTTTAAATGAGGAAGCAAGATTATTCAGCATCCAAAATCAATTAAGATAAATCACATAAAATAAGGGTAAACATTCAATTTTTTAAATTTGTTTGTAATAAAACATCAAAGATAAAACACGAGCAATCAGAATACCCTACAGCCAAATTAAGTCAGCCAACACAACTATAGAGTTCACATGGTCTCTGTCATCATATGAAGTAAACTAGAGCACTACACTTTACTACATATTTCAATATAATAGTTATGTACTTTCCCTTTCTAAAATATAACAGCCACCCCCAAAAATAAAAATGCTCATTAAGTTTTGAAGTAACTGCTTTGAAAATACCAGTTGAAAAATTTCCAATCCTGAACAGCCAAAGCAATTCTGAGAAAAAAGTAAAAGAATAGAGGTTTTATGTTCCCAAATTTCAAAATATACTACAAAGCTAACATAATCAAATTAGTATGGAACTGTAATAAATATAGACCAATAAAACAGAATTGAGAGCACACAAAAGTATCCCACATTTTTATGGACAGTTATTTTATAATAAAGGAACCAAGAGCATAAAGTGGAGAACAGAAAGTCTCTTCAACAATTGGCACTGGGAAAACTGGCCAGTCACATGCTAAAGAACAAAGCTAGACTACTATTGAACACCGTGTACCTGCACAAATTTAATTCAAAATGAGTTAAAGACTTCAGTGTAAGACCTGAAACCATAAATACACAGAAGAGGAAACCATAAATACAGGCAATACACTCCACAATAATATACTCAATAATGTCTCTGGGGACTTGACTACAATGGAAAAGGAAATAAAAGCAAAAATAAACAAATGGGACTGTATAAAATGAAAAAGCTTCAGCACCATGAAAGACACTATTATCAAAATGAAAAGATAGCATCCTACTGGATGGGAGAAAATATGTACACATAATATATCTGATAGGGGGTTAATATCTAAGATTTAAAAAGAACTCACAGAACTCAACAACAAAAAAGACAAGTAACCCAATTAAAAAGTGGGCAGGTCTAAACAGACATTTCTCCAATAAAGACACAGAGATGGCCAATAGGAACAAGAAAAAAAATTCTCATTGTCACTTATCAGGAAAATGCAAATCAAAACAATAATGAGGTATCACCCTCATATCTATGAGAACAGCCCATAGCAAAATGAACAGAAACAAGTGAAGGTGTAGAGAAAAAGGAACCCTCATATACTGTTGGTGAGACTGTAAACTGATCCAGCCAATACAGAAAATAGTATGAAGCTTTCTCAAAATATTAAAAATAAACCTGCCAAATGGTCCAGCAACCCCATCATTAGGTCATCTATTCAAGGAATGTAAAAACACTAATTCAAAAACATATATGAACTCCTATGATCACTGAAGCACTATCTGCAATACGAAGACATGGAATCAACCTAAGTGCCCAACAATGATTCAAGAAGGAAATGTGGTACAAAATATAATGGAATACTATTCAGCTATAAAAAAGAAAGATGAAATCTTGCCATTTGCGCCAACATTGATGGAGCTGGAGAGGATTATGCCAAGAGAAATGTCAGAAGGAGAAAGACAAATATGGTATGATTTTCTTTAGAAGCAGAATATAAACTAGCAAGTAAAGGAACAGACAAAACCAAACCAAAACAAACCCCTGTCATCTGACTATAAAACTGAGGTTACTAGAATGTGGAAAGGAGGCAAAGGATAGAGGAGTTCAATTAACTGTGATGAAGAGTTCTGGTACTTTGGTGACAGGCATGGTGTTGGTAACATGCAATTGAAGAGGTGTGACTCTGTTCTCGTAAAACATAAGGTGTTGCAAGCCAATGATTTTCTAATATATTTTCAAATAAACATTTAACTTTTAAAATAAGAAATGTGCTTCTCTTTATCACCTAAAATTACCCCATTCTTTAACAGAATACAATCTAGTGATCTCACAAAACTGTAAGGAAAATATGAGGTGAACATAGGAAAGGAACAAATTCTTTGGAAAGAATAATCTTAAGAGGACCTCAAAAATGTCTTTTTAAAAAAGCAATCATCATACAAACACACTAACTCAAAAAGACACATGCACTGCTGTGTTCACTGCAGCATTATTTACTATAGCCAAGATACGGAAAAGACCTAAGTACCCTATGGCAGAAAAGCTGGATAAAGATGTGGCACATAAGCATAACGTAATACTACTCAACTATGAAAAATAAAAAAAAAACAACAAATTCTTGCCACTCTACAATCTTGAGGTTATTATGCTAAGTGAAATAAGTCAGATGACAAAGATGAGTAGATTTCACTTATGTGGAAGAAAAATAAAGCAAATGAACAGACAAAACAAAAAAATCTCAGATAAAGAGAACAAAGTGATTACCAGATGGGAAGGGAGATTAGGGTTGGGTGAAATAGGTAAGGGCAATGAACTGTAGGTGGTGGATGGAAACCAGACTTTTGGTGGTGACCATAATGCAGTATATACAGATGCTGAACTATAATGCTGCACACTTAAAACTTATATAATGTTATAAACCAATGTTACTTCAATAAAAATCTTAAAAATAAAAAAATAAAGTCACACTTAAGGAAGAATCAAAGGCATAATGCATAAGAATTCCAGTATATTACAATACCCAAATAAATCTATGACTCAACTACCCATACAAGAATGTGTAATACCCTAAAGAACAACATGAAATCTACAATTTTAGCAATGAGAGTTGTTAAAAAAATTAACACATTTCTGATGACTAGCTTGTCAGCTAACATGATTTATTTCTCTGCAATTATTATCATCAAAGAATGGAAAATCCCTACTAAAGATAATGTTTTAAAGACAAAAAGCTTCCAAACTTCTTTACAAGCTATGATTCCTACTCCCTTCTACTGCAATCTTCTAAAAGTTTAAAAATAATTCAGCTTAATTTAAAAACAAACAATCAATGAAAATATCATACTTATCAGATTTCCTTTTGCATCCCTGAGAGGAGCACCACCTCCACCTTTTCCCCAGGGATTGTAACTTCTCATTTCAGCTTCTAATTTAGCTTCATATTCTTCTTTTTCTTCACGTTCTTTCTTTCTTCTTTCTTCTCTTTCCCGAATCTTGACAACATGAGAAACATCTGTAAGTGCTGACTAGTATTCTGATATAAAAAGTTTTAATATCAGATTTTATTTTTCTTACGAGAGAAAAAACTGGAGGTTTTTTTCAGTAAGCCTTCCTATTAAGTTTTGAAACACAAAGATGAGGAAGAATCAGTTTTAAGACAATCTGTGGATGGAATATATAGTTATTGCTCACTTAAATCATGCCACTGTTGTTCTTTCCAGGCACTCATGTCCTTTGAACTAACCAAACTTCCTTCTCACCCCCTCCCAATTCTACCTAATCCATTCCCTCCTGAGCCTCATCAGTTCCACAGACACCAATAGGATCGTCTGTCCTTTCATTGGCTCTGTCCAGTTACAAACTGCTCCTACACCTCACCAGACCTACTCTACCTGAACCAACTCCATCCCCAGAATTCAGAGATTAAAGGTTTAGGATCCTTCAGGAAATGCTGGTTACCTTGAGTATTACCCTAAGAAATGATATAAAACAATTACATTATAATTATCAAGCAGAACCATGGGGCTGTCTTCCAAAAATATATGGATAATTGACTATATTTTGGCAAGTTACTTTTAAGTACCACTTCAGCAAAGCCACAGAAGTTATCATATACATAAAATACACTTCTGGAGCTAGGAAATCTAGTTGTGTCAGCATCAGTAGTGTTTTTAATATGCTAATTCAAAAAATTATAAATAAATTCAGTCTTTTATTTGTAAAATTCTAGCATACAAAAATTAATGTTGGTTATTCCATAATTTTTTTAAATCCATTTTTCAAGGAGGCTGCCCAGGTAAAATCTGAACAACAGGAGCTTTAGAAAAAAATCTAAGTAGAACTTTACAGAAAAGTACTTCAGGTAGATATATACCTACCAAAAGTTCTAGAATTCTCTCAGAGATGTGGATTAATACCTCCAATACAAAACTACATCTGAACAATTAGTATTAAGTAAACTCTGTTTATACATTATAAACTACAACATAACTCACTACGCTTTTCCCTAAAAGTATTTCACCTCTGATATTCATAGACTCATTATTCTCCTGTAATAATCAAAATCATCTTTAGACCTGTGTCTGTCTCATTTTCTGGATCAAGTCCTATCAGTGAAAACCCAGAATTGCCTCTTGGATGTTTTTCCCATCTTCTCATCTGGTTCAGTGACTCATTGCTTTCTGGCTGGACTACTTTGATCACTTACAAAAAGGTTTCTTTATCATGTCTCTTTTCCAATCATTCTCACTACAGTCGGATATCCTCCTAGAAGCTAGATCTTCTTACATCAACTATTCCTTTCACTTTCTGATTTAAAATTACCTCCCTTTGGCTATCCATACCAGGATAAAAGTGAAAATCTCTTATTAGCTAATCCTTCACAATCCAGCACATTCTAACACTCAATCCCTGTTCCCACACCAATTCCATTCCTTGAATACATCAGGAATTTCATATTTATCCAGTGTATAATATGCAACTCAAATAGTAGCCAAGCAAAGTCTTCCTAACTGCTCAAGTAATTATACTCCCTATATATCTAACAGCATTCCAGTTCAAAGGTTATCACACTGAATTATAAATAATTGCTATTTTGTTCTCTACTGCCATACTCTGAGTTCTAAGGGACCACTGTACAAACACATAAGATGTTCAACTTTAAATGAATGAATGAGCAAATAAGTGAATGAATGAATGAATGAATACCTGCTGCTGCAAAGCTTCTTGATAAGACTGAAGTGTCTGTTTTGAAGGCTTTGGTTTATCTTCAAAAAATAATCCTGAATTTATTGCTTGATCATTCATACTTTTTAGTTCGCTCTGTCCAACTATATTCCTAATCAAATACACAATAATTTGAAAACATTTATAACCAAGTAAGAAGAAAATGCAACACTAATTTGAAATAGCATGGCATACAAGTAAACTTTAAAACAGAGAAAGAGACTCCACCACCAACAAAGCAGAACAGAGAGGTTTGGAACATTATCTCCCTTAAACACAACTAAAAAGAAAATAAAAACAGAATTATTTCAAAGGAAGAGTTAAAGGTTCATCAATGAAAACAGAGGACTTTCCTAGAGGTTTTGTACTGAAGTTGGTGGCTTGCTGTGGGGATCATGAGTGAAGAGATGAAGAAGGTAGCCACTAGAATATAAAAAAAGGCTAGGCGCCAGTCACCACTCCTACCAGGCATGGTGAATACTATCAGAGGAACTTTTCAGAGAGGGTGTGGTACAGACAGAGAAGCACACACAGGGATGGTCACTGGAAATTCAGTGGCCATGGTTTCAGTTGCAGGGAGTTGGGGAACCAGAACACAAGATGGAAAGGCAGAAGAATAAAAACAGAAGTCCAGAGACATATATACAGGACAAAGAGAAGTCCTAACAGACAAAAAATTTTTAGAATAACAATTTTAATATGATAAATGAGGTACTGTAAGGACAATTACCACTAACAAACTTGCCCTACAAGAAATGATGAAAGGATCCAGCAATTCCACTCCTAGGTATTTACCCAAAGGACACAGAAACATCAATTCCAAAGAACACCTGCACCCCTATGTTTATAGCAGCACTGTTTACAATAGCTAAGCTTTGGAAACAACCCAAATGCCCAAAAATAGATGACTGGATCAAGAAGATGTGGTACATATATACCATGGAATATTACTCAGCATTCAAAAAAGATAAACACATGCAATTTGCAGCAACATGGATGGCGCTGGAAGGGATCATGCTCAGCGAAATAAGCCAAAAAGAAAAAGAAAAATACCGGATGGTCTCACTCATAGCAGGAATCTAGAAAACTTAAATAAGGGACCAGGAAAATGAATAACTATAAGAAAGTGAAAATCAAAATCAACAAAAAACTATGAACCAGAGACACTTTTAGGGGGGCGGGGGTGGGAGGGGAGGGATTGGGGTCAGAATGGGGGGGCTGCAATTGTATGGGGAATATAACAATAAAATTTATTAAAAAAAAAAAAAAAGAATTAAATAATAAAAAGAAAAAAAAAAAAAGAAGAAGAAGAAGAAAGGGGTGGGGGAACATAAAACCTCAAGCACTGTGACAACAGGAATACATAGTCAGAAAAATAATCAAGAATAATAAGAAATAACAACATAACACTAAAAGGAAGAAAGAAAAGTTTAGAACCTGTCTAGTTAAATGAAGATCATTCAATACCAGCTCATAAAGCACTTTTTAAACTTATAAAGTTCAATATAACCCTCATGGTAGCCAAAAAGCAAAAATCTAAAATAGAGACACATAGAAAAAAGAAACTACTAGAACCATCAGGGAAAGTCATCCAAATAAAAAGGTAGAAACAAATGGAAAAAATACAACAAAAAGATAAAACAGTTTTAAAAATATGAAGACAGTAAATAGGCCTTCTCTATCAATTACCCTAAATGTGAATTGTCTAAACTCACAAATTAAAGGCATAGATTGACAAACTGGTTCAAAGAATATCAGCCATCTACACTTTGCTTACAAGAAACTCACTTGAAACTTAAAAACAAGCACAAGCTTACAGTGCAAGGCTAAAACTCTTCAGAGATGTAGCTGGTTAATTATTTCAACTATTTAAAATTTTTTTCTAAAATAGTTCTGATTCAAATCTGAATGGTCATTTTTCATAGTTTCTAATGTCCTAATACAAACATGCAAATATACCACTTTGTATTTTGCCTAATAATTCCTAATATGGGATCTTTGCTAGTATATTTCCACAAACCTATTCCAACTCATGATTTATTTCCTTGTATATTTTGTGAGTTTTTGAAGGTGAACTATATATTTTCCTCAGAAAAGTATTTAAAGTCTCTCATCTTTACTTTCTACTTTATTAACTGCCTTAGGAACATTTATATCTGAAATTAATCAGTATAACATAACATATTAATAGGGTACAGAACAAAAACTACAGCACCATATCAATACACAGAAAAAGAATTTAACAAATTTCACAAATTGCAAAATAGCCATTCCTGATAAAAACAATCAACACTTAAGGGAATTTCTTCAGGCTTATAAAGGCAATTCAAAAAACCCACAAATAACACCATATTAATGAACTAAGATCAGAACAAGATAAGGATGTCCACTCATATTATCTACTCAACATTGTAGTTTAGGTTCTATTGAGGACAACTAAGTAAGAAATAAAAGGCATCAGACCAGAAAGGAAAAAGTAAAACTATTCACTGATACCCTAATCACGTATGTAAAAAATGCTAAGAAATCCACTATGAGTTGTTTAGAATAAAGAGTTGGGCAAAATTCCAGGATATAAGATCAATATATGAGGTTCAATTATACATCTATCTACTATCAGCAAATAACATGAAAATGAAATTAATTCTATTCACACCAAAAAAAATTAAATACTTCTAAATTTAACAGAAGCTAAACAATCTGAAAATTACAAAACACTGGCAAAAGAATTTAAAGATCTAAATAAATTGAAAGACATCCTAAATTCATGGATTGGGGACTTAATATTGTTGAGATTTTTTACTAAATCATGAAGAAATAGAAAATCTGAATAGACCCATAAAGAGTAAGGAGATTGAATCAGTAATCAAGAATCTCCTAACAAAGTAAAGCACTGGGGCCTCCCTGGTGGCTTAGGGGTTAAGTCTCAGCACTATCACCACTACGGCCTGAGTTTGATCCCTGGCCAGGAAGCTAAACCACATATGGTGCAGTAGATCTCTTGTCTTGCTCATTGCTCTGTATAACAGTGTATTTCAGTAGATCCATCTGTTCTGCTACCCACTATGGTAGAATCCTCTCAACCCCCCCCACCTCTGGCTTACACCCCAGTTCTTGTATGCATAAATAAGAAATAAACCTTTAAAAAAAAAAACTACCTCAACATAATAAAAGTCACATATGAACATCATACTCAATGGTAAAAGACTTCAAGTTTTTTTCCTAAGACCAGGAACAAAGCAATAAATTGGTCCATAAATTGCTGATATGAAATAAAATGGTACAGTAGTGATGAAAACAATTGGGCAGCTTCTTATAAAACTAAACTTGCAACCACCATACAACCCAACAATTATACTCCTGGAAAGTTACCCTAAAGAAATGAGGACTATATTCACACAAAAACCTGTACATGAATGTTTATAGCAGCTATATTCATAATAATCTAGATGTCCATTGACAAGTGAATGATTAAAAAACTATGGTACTATGGAATGCTACCCAGCAATAAAAATGAACAAACTATTTATACATACAACAACCTAGATGAATCTCCAGAGCATTATGCTGATTTTAAAAAGACAATCTCAAAATGTTACATAGTATATGATTCCATTTTTATAACATTCTTAGAACACATCAGCTGTTGCCAGTGGCTAAGGAAGGAGTTTGGATGGGATTCTACTAGGTATGGCAATAAAAGGTACCAGGAGGGAACCTTGTGATTATGGAAGTATGCTGTATCTTGACTGCATCCAATGTTATATATCTGGGGTCATGACATTGTACCATAGTTCTGCATGTTGCACTAGGAGAAACTGGGGAAAGGATACATGAGATCACTTTTTTGTATCATTACTTACAATTTTGGGGGAATATACATTATCTCAAAATAAAAAGTTAAATTTTTTAAAATGATGGTTAACAAAGCACATTTATTGACATGGAAAAATAACTATGATATACCATTATGTTTATTTTAAAAGCAGATTAAAGACTAATACATATAATTAAAAATCACTGCTCTGTATTGTGCATATATTTTTGTGAGTGTGTGTCTATGTGTGTGTGCATGTACTTAGAAAAACTTTTTGAATGTATATCTAGATATATCTATCGTTAGAAGAATTAGATTTTAGGTGATTTCAATTTTTTTCATGTTTGTAGTCTTATTTATCAATAATATCTATGCATGAACTTTTCTAATGAGAAAAAGTGAGGTTATTCTAATTCTTTTAAATGTGTTTTCTATGAAACATTGACTTAAAAGCAAAACTCTGAACACACTGATCATGCAATAATTTAGAAATTAAAAGAAGGTTTATCTGTTTTCCAGGAGAAAAAATGAGCTAAGTAATAGTTCTACAAGGGACAAATTAATCTTGAAAGCAATTATTATTTTAGTTGACAACTTACACAATGGGATGTGCTGGTTGGTAAGTGACAGGAGCACTAACAAAAGCTGCAGGTTGTACTCCCATCATTCCTGAACCATCTTGAAAGGAAAAAAAAATTATTTCAGAAACCCCATTTAACAACAACTATAAATGTAAAAGTAAAAATAACAACTGAAAATACTACCTAAACAAAAGCATCAATTATTTGCTTCCAGAATAATTAGCAAAAAAAAATACAACACAAAATAATTACTTTTTAAATCTAGATAAAAAGGAAATAACTATGAAATAACTGAGTTTTAAAATGGGGTATTTATTAAGTTAACCAATATGTAATAATTAAGTAAAGTTGTACCTTTCAATTTATGTATCTTTACTTGCACAAAAAAAAATTTTCCTGGGCCTCCCTGGTGGTGCAAGGGTTAAGATGCAACCTACGAAGCTATCTGCAGCCACTGCAGCACAAGTTCGATTCCCAGCCAGACAGGGAACAACCCACATGGCACAGCAGACCTCTCCTGCCTCACCCACTGCTCCCCTCACCAGTGTACTTCGGTCAATCTGCCTGTTCTGTTCCCCACTCTGTCTCTGGTGAATCCTCTCACCCCCCTCCCCCCGCCCCACACCTCTGGCCTATACCCCAGCTCTTGTATGCATAAATAAATAAATCTTTAAAAAAAAAAAAAAAAACAATTTTCCTGACTAAATCACTAGAAAAGAAATGTTTACTCTATAGACAACTTACAATAAGCAAGACTAGGATCCAAAGTATTCCTGGCCCCATAAAAATAGTATGCATCATCATAAGGAGTCCGATAGTTAGTAGACAAAGGTGGTAGTAGTGGAGGTGGAGGCAGAGGTGCAATCCTATATCAAAAGAAATTGCAAAATTCTCCTCATATTTCACTGCAAATGTTTAAAAATCAAGATACTATTCTTTTGCAAAAACATTACTGAAAGTCTAATTGTTGCTGAGAAAAAGCCACCATCTTGTTCCAATTTCATTAAAATTATCATTCAGAAACCAAGTAACATAAAATTTTAGAATTTAAGGAGAAACACCTAAGACAAAAATTTTGATTAATATTCAGTCAATATCTACTAGTCACTACATGCCAGTTTTAAACAAACATGGTCCTTGTCTGACTGTAAAATGCAGAAATAAACAATTATCGAAAACATAGTAAACAAACAATACAAGTAGATGAAGGACCCTATAGAAACAGGAGTATTCAAATCACACAGAAAAGAGAAATAAAAGCATAAGGAAGACCCTCAAAAGGCAATGCTTGAGTCATTATGCTAGAGTTATCTAATCACAGAGGAAGTTAGTACAAGAAGAAAAGACAAGTCACGAAATAAGAGTACAAATCTTTCAAAGGGGCAGTTAATTTTTTAATCTTAAAAATGAACTGTTCCTTCAAAGGCTATCAATCATAATGTGAAACAGAATCTACTTAAATATCAACAGTGGAAATCTAGACACAAATTTTAGTGTTTTATAAAGTTTGTATTTTATAAAATATCTACTTCACATTTCATTATGGACTAGGAAATATCTGTATTTCTACCAATGCAATATCTTCTGATAGCAAAAATGGGAAAAGCAAATATTTCTTTAGATGAATGTAAAGAGAAAGGAGGCATCCTAAAATGTTTTTACCTTTGAATGTATCTTAACAGGCTCTCCCTAATTTATTTAAAAATAAATCTGAAAAGCTAAGGTATTAAAATTCTCTTCAGTAGTGAATTACTTTTCACATTTAGTCATTCAATGTGTCTAGCCTTACTCCAAAGACAGATGATAGATCAACAAAGCAGTTAAAAAAAAATACTATGAAAGGGAACAGTCAACATCACTAAATCTTATATTTTCAGAGACTTATATAAGATTTAATCTGCACAACCACCCTGTAATGTAGATAAGAAAAAAAAAATTACTATTTCACCTTTCAAATGACAAAACTAAAGTACAATAAAGGTGTGGTTTGCCTAAGATCCATTCAGCGCAGTCAACCACTGACTCCTAAACTAGCGCTGAAACCATCACAGGATGCGCTATAATTCTAATCCCTCCCAACCTTTAGGTCAGTAAGTCATTTGATAAAACAAACAAAACACCTAATAAATACAATAAACACAGTTCAAAATCGTTGTTAATAGTAAATAAAAGACCAAGTCCCACTGAAAGAAGAAAGTCTTGTCCAGAAAATAACAATGTTAAAAGAAGAAAAGGAGATGATTAAATACATTCCTATAATAATCTCAAATTCTACTAAGAGAAGAAAGTATAGCCCAGAAAATAACAATGTTAATAACAGGATTTTCTTTATGTACATAGTCTAGTGTAGCACGATGCCTTTCACCTGCAGAAATCAAAACTTTACCCTAGTATCTAAATTATAGGTTTTATTAATTTCAACATGTTTTATTTCCCGGTATTTGAGAGTCACAGCCCCTAAGTAATCATAAAAAAAAGTTGAAGGAAAAAGAAGCTAAAATAAAGTCATATATGTATGTGTGTGTATATAAAAGAATCACATTCAAAATTTTTTTCTGCATAAACTGAAGAATTCAATGTTTGCCAAGTGGAAATTACAAAATTGAAGAATAAATACATATAATATATAGGTTTTATATGCTAAAAGATATTAAACAGATATTCCAAAATATAATCTAAACTAAATAATAAAATGCATTTAACTCTTAATTCTAAAATACTAAAGAATCTTTAAATTCTAAAAGAATGTCAGGATTTCCCTTGCATTTTTAATAATAAGGAACAGAAAAGCAATGAAAATAAATTTTAAGAGCAATTATTTATAAAAGTCATAATTCTATAAAATCTCTGAAGGTTAATGTTATTTGTTTCAGCAAATCCTTCTAAACATAAAATATAATGATACCTTACCTAATTCCCAAACACAAAACATTTTAAACAAGCACCTGGGAGGCACCATTTCACCAAGGGTGCTGCTGAGTCCATTGTGCAAATCTTCATTTTGAGATGGGATGGAGTGAACTGATGGGATAGGTGGGACAGATGGGGCAGATAAAGGAGGGAGAGGTGTCTGGAAAGCTACCCTGGGTCTTTCAGGTGGAATCGTCTCTTCAAAGTGTCTTGGTGCCACACTAAACTGCTTTAGTCTATTAGGCTAAAATAAAGAAAAAAAATCTGTTTGTTACATATAATCATAAATTTAAAGGAGGAAGGGAACTCAAAAGACCCTTTATCTAAGACTGGTAGAGGGCACTTTAGTCACAGAATAATAGAATTTTACAGCTATAAAAAATTTTGAAGATCTAATTCTTAATTCATAAATGGAGTAACTGAGGTTCCCTGAGAAGTCATAAGTCACCCTTAATATTACCACTAATAAATACTAGTGCTATATTAATACTAAATATAGAATTCGATTACTTTACAACATTATGCTGCTTCTCTCTCTAATTGCTATATTTGGTGTCAAACTATTCTCTAGAAAAGAGTCAGCAAAAAATTCTTTGCAAAGAAAAACAGTAAATATGTCAGTTCCAGGCCATATGGTTTCTTCACATCTACGAAACTTAGTCATTGTGCTAAAGTAATTATAATAGTATGTGACGGAGGTATGCTGCAATAAAAATTTTAATTTACCAAAACAGGCAGCAACTGGATTTGCCAATAGGCCAGTTTGCTAACCTCTCCTCCAGAACATCATCTATAACTCCCTTTCTAAGGTTTGTACATCAATAGCAAACACCAAAACTGTGCTCCATTATTTCTAATATTTTTATTTATTTAGTCTCATAAAGCAACTTGACAATTAAAGGTGGTTTTATTCAAATACATAAATGAAAGGTTGTTTCCTTCAAACAATTAAAATCCACCACACAAATCCATAGTCATGTAGCTTTAATAATGTTATCATATTACATTAAAAAGTTCAAAATTATAAAATTAAGGTTTTGATTACAAAAACTATTTCAAAGGTATTTATTGATAGAAGAAAATATACTTATTTTTATACTTAATCCTTTTTCCTACTGTGTTCATATTTGCTAGCAATAAGATTATTTCAAATTAACCTAAAAGCTCTATTCTCTGAGTAGTCAAAAAAACAAGATGCTGGTACATATTAAACTTTTTTAACTGATAACCCACAGGATATATACTTAGCATAAGTAAATCAAAAGTTGCCTAGAGATAATCCTAAATAGCTGAATTCTTTTTAAGAATGAACTTTCTAATGAAAGTTTCCTAATCAAAGATGAAAAAAACTAGCTTTAGCAAATAAATCCTATTATTCAAATACAAAAAGTACATTTTGATAAAAGCATCAAGTTATTACCTCCTTCTTACTTAACTGCAATGATGTAATTCATTCCACTTAATGAGAATTGCAAAATTAAAGTAAAAATAAGGTTACTGGATCTGTAGTTATACATTAAAGAAAAATTATTAGAATGCTTAAATAGAATTACAATTTTCAGTTTCTTCAGAAATCACTCTAACATAAAAAAAAGTCAACAAAAATATTAACATGTATTATAAATTACACTGAGATATGTTCCCATGAAATAATACATTTGAACAAAGAAGAGCTAATTTAAAACAAACTAAAAAAATGATGCACACCTGAAAAAAAATAGCCTTAGGAAAATAAACAAGTAAAAGGTGTAAGTTCCATGAGAACAAAATTTAACTCAAATTGGTCTACTCTCACATTTTCTCCAGTATCTTCTATCTCCACCTGCTACCACATTTGAAATTTATTTGAATGAAAGAGTGAACATTAGAGGTGCGAGTAATCCTTACCGATTTCTCAGGGTCTTGTGCTCCAGAAGCTGCAACCCTGAGTTCCAAATCTTTTTCTCTAAGCAAAATAAACATTTTATGTGTTAAAAAGTTATAGCAAGCACTACAAAATAATTATTGAATTACTGAAACAAACTTACACAGAGTGTATGCAATAACATCACTAAATAGAAATCATTACTTTGACAATAAAACCTCTAAAAATTCTAAAAATTAAATTTTCTTATTTGCTGCAAAACAAACTAGTCTTCACATAAGTATTTCTAAACCAGTCCTTAGGGTACTTCAAACCGAAGCAATTCACACAGAATAAAATACAGAAGTAAAACAAAATTACTACTTTGTGAAACTAAAAATCTCTCATGAGGCTTTTTCAGCTAGCAAAAGAAAAGAATAAAATTTTCAAAACATTTTCTAAGAGCTTTTTTAAAATATTAAAGAAGGCAATATCAGAGTGGATATAAGTTTCCTTAGAGGAAACAAGGCAAAGCTAAAGGATAACAGCTCTCAAATTCTCTCGAACCAACCAAATTTGAACTATAATTAATATTTTTACAGACATTTCTACAAGATTACAAAGACTAAAACTACATACAAGTATGTAGGATTTATATTTTTTTTCAAACTTTATTGATCTGCCAATCATTTATATAACTATATACTTTGGGGAGTATATTTTTACCCCCAACACGTACACATACTTCACTCACTCTTCACAGAGCTCCAATGTCAGGTCTCTATCACCCAGTGCTAATACTCTTGCATTCCCTCCTCTATAGTCTCCGTCTCCATTCCCCGCTGTGGCAACCACTATATTTTTCAGAGTCTCAGAATTATATTTATTGTGTTTTACAAGTTTAGTTTTGTTATTTATATTTCACAAATGAATGAGCCCATCTGGCAACTTGTTTTTCACCTTCTGGCTTATTTTACTTAGTATAATCACCTTAAGATCCACCCATTTTATGGAGCTGGAATGGATTATGCTCAATAAAATAAGTCAGAAGGAAAAAGAAAAATACTAGATGGTTTTACTTATTTGGAGGAACACAGGGAAACCATACAACAGAGAAACAGACAAAACTAGCAGTCAAACTATAAATTGGAGATATTCATAACAGGGGAGGAGGAAGGAGGGGGATCAAAAGGGAAGGGAAGAGTACGAGAGTCTATGGTGATGGTTCAGGGGGTATCTTGGTGGTGGTAATTTTATGGGGACAACTGAGAGGAGAAATCAAACACTGCACAAAAATGAACAATGATGTAAAAATATAAATAATCAAAGGGAAAAAATGAATAAAATCTACCCATTTTGTCCCAGAAGGCACTATTTCACCTTTTTAGTAGTTGAGTATTATTCCATTGACCAGAAAACACTGCACAATTTCTTTATCCAGTCATCTGTTGATGACTATACAGTTTGGTTCCATGAATTGGCCATTGTGAATAACAATGCTATAAACATTGGTTGGTATGTATAAATATTTTCCTGGTATTCATATATTTGGATAGATACCCAGCAATGGTATTACTGGATAATAAAGTATTTCCTTTTTTTTTTTTTTTTGTAAATCTCCATACTGTTTTCCATAGAGGCTGTACCAAATTACATTCCCACCAACAGTGGGTGGGTGTCTTTTTCTCCACATCCTCACCAGGATTGTTGTTTCCAGTCTTTTTGATTTTAAGCTATTTTCTCATGGTGTGAAGTGACAGCTCATTGTGGTTTTCATCTGCCTTTCCCTTATTAGTGGTGCCAAACATTTTTTTCTTGTGCCTATAAATCATACTTGGAGAAATGGATACTTAGTACATACATATACTTACCTAAACGTCTACTTAGATTACGCCAGTTTTTTTTAATTGGGTTGTTTATTGTTAAGGTGCATGAGTTTATATATTACGGAAATTAACCCACTGTTAGATGTGTAATGGACAAATATCTTCTCCGAAAACACAGGTTCCCTTTTTTGGTCTTGTAGTGGTTTTCTTTGAGGTCCAAAAGCTTTTTAACTTGCTGTAGATCACTTGTTTATTTTTGCATTTGTTTCTCTTGCCTTTCAGGTTGTACACCCAGTACATCTCTGTGGCTAATGTCCATAAGTGTGTCACCTATGTTTTCTTTCATGTATTTTATAGTTTCATGTCTTATATTCAAGTCTTTAATCCATTTTGAAGTAATTTTTAAGTAAGGAATTAGGAAAGGACATACTTTTGGGGGGGTTTTTTTGCATGTTCCACAATGTCATTTATTAAAGAGGCTCTCTTTTCTCCAACATGGTCATAGATCCTCTGTCAAAGATTAACTGTCCATATTTGTGTGTACTTATCTCTGGGCTCTCTACTATATTCCATTTGTCTGTGTTTACATTTTTGTTCCAAAACCATACTATTTTGATTACTATCACTGTAGTACAAATCAAGTCAGAAAATTAGGTATTTCCACTTTTCTTCTTTTCTCTCAGGATTGATTTAGTTACTTGTGGTTTTTTATGACTCCATACAAATTTTATAATTTTGTTTTATTTCCTTGGAAATTTTCATTGAGGTTTTGATAAGCCTATCAATCCATGATATAGTTCTCATGGTCATTTTAACCATGTTTATTCTTCCAATCATGCACACAGAATATCTTTACATTTTTTTGTGTCTTCTTTAATTTCCTTTAACAGTATCTTATAGTTTTCAGTATATAACTCCTTCACCTCCTTTATTAAGTTTATTCCCAGGCATTTCCTTATTTTGATGTGATATAAATAGGATTGTTTTCCTAATTTCTCTTTATTTTAATTAATTGTGTGCATTAAGAAATGCAACATACTGCTGTGTACTGAATTTATATCACTTTAGTGTATTCATTTATTATTCCTAGTAACTATTTGGTAGAGCCTTTGGATTTTCTATGTATACTATCATGTCATCTGCAAATAGTGATAGTTTCATTTCTTTTCTAATTTGGATTCCTTCTATTTCTTTTTCTTGCCTAATTGCTCCAGCTAAGACTTTCAATACTATGCTAAACCATAGTGGTTAAAGTAGACATCTTTGTCTTGCTTCTGATCTGACAGGAAATGCTTTCAATTTTTCACCAACTAGTATAAGGTTGCCTGTAGATTTGTCATATGTTAAATCCTTTTGTTCCCATTTTATTGATGCTTTTTTTTAAATTTAAAATGGTATTGAATAACTCAAATGCTTTTAACATCTATTGAAAAGATCATGTGATTGGGCCTCCCCAGTGGCGCAGCGTTTGAGCGCTGGGTTGCGAAGCTGCCGGCGGCCTCTGCGGCGCCGGTTCGATCCCCGGCTGCTCCCCAGCCACCGGAGGAGGGTCCCACATGGCGCGCAGACCTCTCCTGCCGCCCGCTGCTCCCCTCAGCAGTGTACTTCGGTCCTTCTGCCTGCTCTGCTCCCTGCGCTGGCTCTGGTGAATTCTCTCACCCTCCTGCGCTTCTGACTGTACCCAGTGCATGTATAAACAAAAACAAAACAAACAAATAAAAAATAAAAAACATGCCTCTATAAAAAAAAAAAAAAAAAGATCATGTGATTTATCTTTTTTGTTGTTGATGTAGTGCATGACATTGATTTGAATATATTGACTACCCTCATATTTCTGAAATAAATACCACTTGGTTATGGTGGATGATTTTCTTAATATATTGCTGGATTCAATTTGCCAAGATTTTGTTGAGTATTTTAGCACCGATATTCATCAGAAAAATCAGTCTATAGTTTTTCTGCACTATGCTATTGGGTTTCAGGATGAAGATAATATTAGTCTGGTCAAATGTGTTTAGAAGCTACCCCCTTTTCAATTTTTAATTTAGATAATTTGATGATAGGTGTCAGGTCCTCTTTAAAGGTTTGGGAGAGTGAAGTCATCTGGTACTGGGCTTTAATTCTTAGGGAGACTTTTGATTACTCTTTCCAGATGTGTTTGTGACTGGCATGATCAAGTAGTGTATTCATTTTCACTTTTGGAAGGATTGATTGACTAAAAAAATTGTCTATTTTTTCTAGATTATCCAGTTTGCATATAGTTATTTTTGTTTGCATATAGTTATTCATAGGAGTATCTTGTGATTATTTGTATTTCTGTAGTATCTGTTATAATTTTACATTTCATTCTTGATTCATTTTATTTGCATTTTCTCTCTTCTTAATGAACCCAGTTAAGGATTTATCAATTTTGTTTACCCTTTCAAAGAATCAACTCTTGCTTTCACTGATGTTTCGTATCTTGCTTTCATTGATCTTTTGGTTTCTATATCATTTAATTCCATTCAAATTTATATTATTTTCTTCGTTTCACTGACTATGTTTTGTTTGTTCTTCCTTTTCTAGTTCCTTCAGTTGTCATATCAGATTGAGAATTTTCTTGTTCATTGATATGGGTCTGTATTGCTATGTACTTCCCTTTTAATAACACTTTTAGTGCATCATCCCATTGAATCTGGTAGCCTGTCTTTCCATGTTTGTTATTTACCAGGTAATTTTCTTTCTTCTGCTTTGATTTCTTCATTGACCCTGGATTTTCTCAAAAGCATTTTGTTTAGTTTTCACCTGTTCAGGTTTTATCTGACTTTCTTTTTATGGTTGACTGCTAGTTTTATATCACTGTGGTCTGTATTTGATACAATCTCTTTTCATGTATCTTTGAAACATGTTTTGTGTTCTAGCATATGGTCTATCCTTGGGAACGTTCCATGTGCACTTGAAAAGAATGTGTATTCATTTCTTTTGGGATGGAATAGTCTGTATGTCTATTAAATCCACCTTAATACTTCATATGAGGCCATTTTTTTCCTCATTTACTTTCTATCTGGATGATCTATCCATTGATATGAGTAATATAATGGGTGTGTAATATTGATGGTAGTTGTATTTTCTTGATGACTTGTTCCCCTGATCATAAGGACCATCTTTATTATCATCATTTTTGGCTGAAGGGCTAATTTATCAGATACTAGAATAGTAGGTCTTGCTTTTTCCTCTGTTGTTTGTTTGAAAGACTTTGCTGAAGCCTTTCATTTAAAGTCTTTGTCTGGGCGAGGCGGACCTTTCCTGTCTCGCCTGCTGCTCCCCTCAGCAGTGTATTTCAGTCAGTCTGCCTGTTCTGTTCCCCACTCTGTCTCTGGTGAATCCTCTCACCCTCCCGTGAATCTGGCCTGTACCCCAGTTCCTATGTAAATAAATAAAATCTTTTAAAAAAAAATAAAGTCTTTGTCTTTAGAGCTAATGTGTTATTCTTGAATGCAGAACATAGATGACTCACTTTTAAAAATCTAATCTCTCATTCTGCGTCTTAATTGGTGAGTTCAGACCAGTCATGTTTAGGAGGATTACTGACAAATGATGTTTATATACTATTTTCTTATCTTTTGGGTTTTGGTTGTTTTATTTTTCTCATTTATTTTTCAATGTGTTTCTGTCTCATGTGTATCTCTTTCCCTGGTGGTTCTCTTAGTTTCTTCATTTCTTTTTCTAAGTGTTTTTTGCTCTAGAATTTGGTTTTGTGGTTACCAAGAGAGTTGTCTTAAACTTCTATGTCTAAAATAGTCCTTTTTCAATCACTTCTTGGCCTTTTGGCTAAGATCAAGTGTAGAATAGTCCTTTTTCTCCTGGCATCAACATATCATTAATTTAATATGCAGATTCTGTTCTTTCCTTCCTCCCCTTTAGTGTTGTTTGTTGTCCCACATTATTCTTGGTTATTTCTGACTTTGTTTCTATTTCTCACTTTGCTCAAGGTCTGTTCTTTTGTTTTTTCTTTTACCATTTCTTATAGGGTACATCTGGTGGTGATAAATTGCATTAGTTTTTGTTTGTCTGGGAAAGCTTTGATTTCTCTATCATACTTGAATGATAATTTTACGGGATATGAGCATTCTTGCCTGGCAGTTTTTGTTTTTTAAGAGTTGTAAGTCATTCTATTCTTCTCTAGCTTGTAGAGTTTCTACTGAAAAATCTGAGGAAAGCCTGATCAAGCTGCCTCTGTAGGTCCCACATTTTTATTCCCCCAGCTGCCTATAGTATTTTTTTTTTGTTATCACTAACTTTTGATAACAATATGTCTTAGGGTAGGTCATTCCATACTCAGAAATTTGGGTGTTCTGTCTGCTTCTTTTACATCTATGGCTAGTCCTTTCCTTAGATTTGGAAAATTATCAGATATTACTTCTTTGAGTATGGTCTTTGTTCACCTTCAGGGATATCCATTAATCTTATGTTTCTCCCTCTATAGAATTCTGATATTTCACATAGTTTCTTCATTTTTCCTAAATCATATTTCCTAAATCTTTCTTCTTAAACCTCGTTATTTGTATATTTTTAATCTTCCATGTTTCCAAAAGTCTTTCCTCTCAAGATTAAGTCTAATAAATAAACTTCTTATGGCTGCTTTCAGTTCTTTCATTGTATTCCTCATAGTCATATTCCCACTTGGGTATTTAAATAGTTTCAAATTCTTTGATGAATAATTCCTTTTGTTCTTAGCTATCTTTTCCAATAACCTGAACCAATCTTTCTGTATTCAACTCAGAGGCTTAAATTTTTCTATGCATCTTCCAGACTGCTCTACTGAATTCTGTGTTTGTTAATGTCTCCAATTCTGAATTTTAAAGCTTGGATTCAGCATTATGGTCTTTATCCAAGCTGCTTTGCCTGAATTGTGCCTTCTTTCCCATGTCCCATTTCTACCTATAGGTGGTGTTGTGGCTTTAGGTTTGGGCTCTACCTTGATTAGAGGTGGTGGGAAGAGTGGAGTAGGTGGGAGTTGGAGCATAGCTGTCTCCTGTAAGTGTTCACATTCTTGGGATGGGAGGTCACATTACAAGTGTAATGTACCCTGTACCATTGTTTCTCTCTGCAATCAGGCCGTACTCCTCTCTGTGTCTAGAGCCTGCTTCTCAGATCCCCATCTCACTATTATGGGACTCCATAGTTTCTCACAGATTTCCCTACCACCCAGGAGAAAAGGATAAGGAAACAGTGCTCTGCCTTTGCTTATACTATAACCAAAACAGTGCTATGGGGTAATGGATTTGTTCCAGGGCTCTGTCAGGAAGCAATATATTACTTCACACTAACTGTAAATTTCCCCTGTGCCAGGCTGAGCACACCAGAGCCAATGACCTCTGCTAGTCTATTCATCCAACAGGAATGGCTGCTGTCACTGATGTCCCCTTCTCCCTGCTCCAAAACATCCGTGAGGAACAGAAGACCCACCTTGGAGAAATAGCATGGGCAAGTCCAGCAACACAGTGATGAGCTAGAGGGGTGGGCTAGAGTTGCTTTCTTAGTTTGTAGAAAAGTTTGTCAATAGAGAGATAGCTATTTGTCATGGCTTGGCTTCGTCCCCCCTCTGTAATTATTTTTACATAGCATATTGCACATATGTATGTGCTCATGATTTCACATTATTAAAACAAAAAATTATTTTACTTCATATTTATTAAAATACATTTTATATTTGTTAAATAAGTTACAGTGGGTTAGATAACTTAAATGTTACCCTAAATCAAAAATTGAATAAGTTAATGAAAAGGCCCATTGTAACATATATAGTCTAATTTGTTACCTGTGACCAAAAAATGAACATTCTTGTATTTATTAGCCTAGTTGACTTACAATGTGGAAATTAAAATAGAAGTAATATATAAATACAAAATCATATTAGAAAAAATAACCTCTTGGGCCTCCCCTGGTGGCGCAGTGGTTGAGCGCTGGGCTGCAAAGCTGCCCGCAGCCTCTGCAGCGCCGGTTCCATCCCCGGCCACCGGCGAGGGTCCCACATGGCGCACAGACCTCTCCTGCTGCGCCCGCTACTGTCTGCCTATTCTGCTCCCCGCTCTGTCCTGATGAATTCTCTCACCCTCCCGCGCTTCTGACTGTACTCAGTGCTTGTATAAATAAATAAATAAATAAATCTTTAAAAAAAGAAAAAATAACCTCTTATTTATACCATGTAACAGGTACTACCATGTCATTTTTCTCAAATGTATTTTAAATTCAAAACATCTCTTTTAAATGCAAATCTTTCATACCGTCTCTTGTTCTTCTGTTGTTCAGCCATTTGTTCCAATAGTTCTAGTCTGTATTTCTCCTTTCTTCTCTGAATAAGTTCTCGATCTTCACCTCCTAGAAAGTGGTAAGAAAAAAAATGCAATCTTAATGCTTGAGCAACATATGCAACTGGACACCTGAACTTTTTTACATCTCCATTTTTTAATTATCAAAGAGCAATTACTGCATGTGTACAAGATGAAATGAGATGTTATTACTTCCTCAATTATTTTCCCTATTTATGAATACTGCTATGTCAAGCACGAAATACATTAATCCTTCCCCAAACTCTAAATTTAGTCAAAACCCTTCTTATGTAAGAGAAAAAATTAATCACCATCCCCATTTTCCCAGTAATCTGGATATGGCCCTTAATGTTTCCCACAACTTAGATTTAATGTGTCCAAAATGAACATCTCTAAAGCAACTGCCCTTTGTTTTCTATTACTGACTTGGTAATCAAGCCCCAAAACTTCACTATAATTGTGAGCATTCATTCTCTTATTCATTTCATATAAAGGACCCTCTTTTCTATTCTCATGGCCATTAACCTTGGATAGCACCTCTCTACATTTCAACTGGATTACAACCTAACTCCCCATATCTCCCTTGCTCCAACATATACCTCATACTTGCACATTAACTGTCTTAAAAACACAATGCTAATCACACTGATGTCCAGCTCAAAAAACTTCAATGATTACCTCAATTACATTAAGGTTTATAATGCTTCATAATTGGCAGATATATCCATTCTGCTTCTGGTCATTATGGAATGACAAGCAAAGAACTTAATATTTTATCATAAAAAATAAAATTAGACAAAAAATATTAAATAACTGTTCTTCAGATACTGGACAATGTACAACAAGCAGTGCAAGACTGTAACAAGCAAAGAACTTAATATTTTATCATAAAAAATAAAATTAGACTAGGGCCTCCCCGGTGGCGCAGCAGTTGAGCGCTGGGTTGTGTAGCTGCCCGCAGCCTCTGCAGCACCGGTTCAATCCCTGGCTGCTCCCCGGCCACCGGAGGAGGGTCCCACATGGCGCGCAGACCTCTCCTGCCGCCCGTTGCTCCCCTCAGCAGTGTACTTCGGTCCTTCTGCCTGTTCTGCTCCCTGCTCTGGCTCTGGTAAAATTCTCTCACCCTCCCGCGCTTCGGACTGTACCCAGTGCTTGTATAAATAAATAAATCTTAAAAATAAATAAATAAATAAATAAAATTAGACTAATAATATTAAATAACTATTTTTCAGATACTGGACAATGTACAACAGGCAGTGCAAGACTGTAAGACCTAAAGGAAGGAAAATAGATTGAGTCCTTCAATCACCTGAAAGCAATTTCTAGACTACAGGTACAGGAAAGGAGAACCGAAACAAAGAAGGAAAACTGAACTAAATTAAAAATATAAAGTTCAAAATTCAGGAAAACTATAATAGTTGGAAGTTTAGGGTAAAGATCTGAAGAGAAGTATGAAACAAGCTTCAGAAATCCATAGAGGAGTCCCTTCAGAATTTACTGTGCACTAGTCAATGCATGCACAGAGTGAAATTCCATTACAATGAGCAAGAAAACATGGAAGACATATCAAATTAACAAGTCTCAGACCTCCCCAAAATGGAGAGAAATTCAATCTCCAACCAGTTAGAGTGGAGTTACTGTGATTATCTAGACTAGAAACGTCATAATGCAAGTAGTAGGGCAGAACAACCCCTAGAAAGTAAGTTATTCAAGATTAAGTAATGAGCTAAGATTAAAATAAAACCTCAAAAAAGACTGTTTAAGTAACAGAAAAAGGTAACTGCAGTAGGCAAAATTCTAAGATAAATCCTGTGTTCTCTGTCTTCTAGTGCTGATTCCTGTATGCCTCATCTTGAGCATAGTGTTAAATTTGCTTCTAACAGAATATGGCAAAAGTGAAAGGCTAAGGAACCAAAATCAATTCTGAATTAATCAAAAGAGATATTACCTTGAGTGGGCCTGATATACTCAGGTAAAATCTTCCCTGAGTTCAGAGATTCTTCTTGCTGGTATTATAAAGTCAGCATTTCTGTTGTGGAGCCAATACGGCAAGAAACAATAGATGGGTTCTAGAAACTATGAGATGTATCCAGCTGACATTCAGTAAGACAGTGTCTAGTAATACAGCTACAATAAAGTCAATTATCTCAACAATTCGAATGAACTTGGAAACTGATTCTTGTCTGATCAGGCCTCAAGATGCAAAAATAGTCCAGCCAACACCTTGATTATAGCCTTGTGAGATTCTGAGGAAAGGATTCAATTAAGTAATGCCCAGATTCCTAACCCACAGAAACTGAGATAATGAGAAATGTTTTGATCTAAGCAGATACTTTTCCAAAGAAGATACAGATGCACAACAGGACATGAAAAAATGCTCATCATCTCTTATTATCAGGAAAATGCAAACCAAAACAATGAGCTATCTATCACCTCATACCTGTAAGAATGGCTACCATCCAAAAGATAAGAAACAGCAAGCATTAAGATGCGGTATATATACACAATGGAATATTACTCAGCAATCAAAAAAGATAAACTCATGCAATTTGCAGCAACATGGATGGAGTTGGAAGGGATCATACTCAGCGAAATAATCCAGAAAAAAAAGAAAAATACTGGATGGTCTCACTCATACCAGGAATTTAGAAAACCTAAATAAGGGACCAGGAAAAAGACTAATTATAATAAAGAAAAAATCAAAATCAACAAGCAACTACAAACCAGACACACACTACAGGGTGGGGGGTGTGGAGGGGAGAAGAGATTAGGGTCAAAATAAGGGGTGGTGGGAATTGTATAGTGAATGTAACCAAAATGAAAATGCATACATTGTGCAAAAATGAAAAATGATGTAAGAATTATATAAAATAAAATATATTTTTAAAAAAAAAAGATGTGGAAAGAAAGGAGCCCTTTACACTGTGGTAGCAATACAAACTGGTGCAACCATTGTAGAAATATTCAGCAAAAATCTAAGCAACTAGGATTGCATACATACCAAAAAGCATCCCTGCAAATGGACTACAGAGTTCTCGGTTAATAGATTTGGATGGTTCATTTTCTTGAGCACTAAAAAGAAAAGAAAGAAAGAAATCAGAGCCCAAACAATTTAGAGTACAAAGTAAATGAGTTCTTGGTCTTTCAAAGTACTATGGACAACATAATTCATATTTTTAAAATTAGGTAAATTCAAGGCATTTTCTCTTTTTATAATGTAAGATCCCAACATATTCATTCACTATAAAAATATAACCTTTTTCTTCAACCCACTTCACTGCTTTCATAGATCGCAAAATAAAACCCTTTTTTTTCATGTGAACAGGTACCCCAACAAGGGAAATTAACATACATAGAAACAAATCCTAAAAGAAAAAGGTGATACCTGTCATACCTTAGCATACACTTGGAAAAGATCCCAAAAACGGTCTCCTTGAAAGACAGGAACCAAGGAAAAAAAGAAAACTCCCTCAAAGAAAACTTAATTAATTTGGCCCCAACAGCATATTATCTCATCTCAAGCATTTTTATACATTACTTTTCTTCAAAGAAAATAGACACTTTTCTTGGCATAAGATACATTATCTTCACGCAATTTTACACTTTATAAGTTTAGAATTATCTATTCATCTATCTCTACTATAAGAAAGCCACAAAAATGATTTTCAAAAATCTAAATGTAAGAAAATACACATACATATATATATTTTCTTTCCTTTTCAACATGACAGAAGCATGAGAAGTAATTCTAAAATCACAAAAGTTATTTACTCATTGAGGTAAAATTCAAAAACAAAGTTTTTTTTAAAAAAAACAAAGTTTTGAAAGAAAATTCATACTGCAAGTATATTTTCTATCACATTACATCAGCACCATGACTCCAAGATATCTTAAGTTGACTGTTAGTCCATTAAATTGTATGTCCATTCCTTCTGTCAGTCATTATTACAAATGAAAAGTGTATATTTTATGATAGGGATTTATTCAGAATACCTTGGCACACTTTATGAACAAAACTCGTTCTTCAAAAGAATGCTGGAATGTTGGTATGTACTATAAATTTTCATAACACACAATTTTCTCCCCTTTTGTTCTCATTTCAATTCCTTTCTCACTGATAAGGATGGCTATTGATATACTATATCTAAGTTTTCAGTAAGCCAGTTTAAGGTAGGTAGGTAGGTACTCTTTCACAGTGTAGTGATTGAAGGGCAGAATATATTACATACTGTACCTTTTATTTCCAGCAGATGAAATTCGTATGTTTGACTGTTCTGTGATACCACCACCATGCTCCATAAAAGGCACAGTCCCTCGTCTGTTCCCGTACATCCTTAAAAACATATTAGCTTATAGACTTGTTCCACATACAGTGGACTGTCCTGTATCTTTGTTGTTTATATTTAATGTTGAAAATATTAAAGGGAACAAAGTGTTATAATGAAGTTTTACTGTAAATATATTTTAAAATTAATTGAACTGAGATTGCAGTCAAGTATGATAAAGTTGAGACATTAAGACTTTATATTTAATAATCTTTAAAACAAATCGCGGTTTAAAATCACCTCACTATAACTTCTAGAAAATTTTAATTTCAAAGCCATGCATATTCTAAGATTTTTTTCTTCACTTGTTCAAAGAATATTTATTGAGTAACTACTCTGTGCAAAGTACTATTCCAGGCATTCTATACAGATACGGTCCCTGTCTTCATGAATATGACTAAATTTCAAAATGAAATCATTTTTGAAATCATAATTCATACATTTGGGGAGTTATTTCATTGCATATACAAACCCTTTTAATTTAAAAATACAGCAGCAGTCTTGCCAGTAAATCAAACGTAGCAAGCCATAACATTTGCTACCATTGTAAATCACATGAAACAAATATCAGCAAGAGATGACTAGAAAGCATAAACAAAAAGGCTGATACATGCATTGGAAATGGTTAGTTCATTGTACTCACAAGGATATGAAAAGAGAAAGAATAGTGTTTATTTTCTTGTCAAACGCACTTTTAAGAAAAGAATTTAAAAATTTTCAATTAATCATTTTTTTCCATTTGGCAAACATTGATTCTTTCACTTAAAATCTCATACCAGAGAAATCAACATTACATTTTACACATTTATTAACATCTGTGTAATTTAGCTTCTCATAAATTGTATTTCTTTATTTGTATAAAAACCTAAGTACTCTGTCTTAGAAGGACTAATTTAAAGAAATATAGCTGTTAAAGTATTATTCAGTATTTAAGGTGAACTTCATTGTTATATTAAGAAAAGATGCAATTTTTAGAAGAAAAAGAACTCTCTACAGAGCCAGCATATAAAATTCTTTGTTACCATCACACATTATCAATCTCATCTGTTAAGAAAAGACTATCCAGAACTTTAACCTTAATAATGTAATATCTGACATAACACAAAAATGATTTCCAATTTCTACCATATGTAAAACAGAACCCTCTCCACGGTCCTTTCAAAATAGAATTCTCAAATATGTTTCAATTTGTAGCATACAGCTGGTTTTATATCTAAAATCTACATACTAAAATCTCTCTTTTGAATCAACACATTCATTAGTTTAGTGTCAGTCCCTATTTGTACCATTATAAAGAGCAGGTAAATGTAAACTCAAATTCAAATGCAGAATAATGCCAAGTAACCAGAATTAGTTATACTGGATCTATATAAATGAAGAAAAGAATTAACAGAGCAGGCCTGAGATTGCCTATCCTGAGAAAGGCTATTTGCAAGGTTGGTAATTAGCTGGCACCTGGGAACAGATTTTGGTATGGGTCCCCACCATTTCCAGAACTAAGATTAGCTCACTGCATTCAAACTGTTTATACAAACAATAAGGCATGCATAGCATCTGCTTTCCTTCAAAGAGTACAGGATTTTGGTACATGAGAGTAACCTAATGAGTAACATTATGTAACCCTAATGAACATTCCTGATAGACAACATTTCATTCATGTTGTCACAAATCAATGCTGGATGAATTAAGCATGTTGAATGGGACTCCACTGGAAGAAGACATTTGGAAGCTTATGCCTTATTTCCTTCAGATATTGTCGCTTCAGACTTTTCCTTTGCTGATTATATCCTTTCACTGTAATAAATCACAGCCATTGGCCCTCCCTGGTGGCGCAAGGGGTTAAGACGCAACCTATGAAGCAAGAGTTTGATACCTGCCCAGGGAGGAACCCACATAGCGCAGCAGACCTCTCCTGACTTGCCCGCTGCTCCCCTCAGCGGTGTATTTCAATCAATCTGCCTGTTGTGTTTCCCACTCTGTCTCTGGTGAATCCGCTCACCTCCCCCCGCCCCACACACCTCTGGCCTATACCCTAGCTCTTGTATGCATAAAAATAAAATAAATCTTTAAAAAAAAATCACAGGCATGAGTATAACTATATATGTAAAGTCCTGTGAATCATCCTGTCAAATCACCAAAACCTGAGAATGATCTTAGAAACCCACAACATTAAATTTGTTGATGTGTTAAAAGTGGTACCTATAGCAATGAAAACTTTTAAATACATATTTAAAGATGTAACTTTTTTAAAACATATATTGGGATCCCCCAAATTTTTTAATTTACTCAAGAGCGTATGGCTTCCTGCATTTTTAGGTAAACTGCCTAAGATCTTAGGACCTGAAATTCAGCTGTATCCAAAGTATGCTACAGCCAAAGCACCTACATGAAGAAAGCAATTTTATAGATTCTTCACATATAAAGACATTTTAAGAAACATAAGCACAAAATGTCTTCTCCAAAGATCATTCTAAAATAATTCATTAATGTATGTTAATGTCAAGATCTCTGCTTTGTGATTTTACAGCAAAAATCATGAAGACTTCCTAATGAATAGCCTATGAAAGATGGTTTAAGGTATATTTGCTCACTGAAGAAAAAAATTCATTAACAAAATTATAAAATTTTCCTGTCACTGATAATTACAATAAAATCTGAAGAAATGTTTAAGAAGCCAAAAGAAAAAGGAAGCAGAGGGAAACATAGGTTTCTCCTACTATCCAAAAGTAGAGGGTTCTATTATGTTGGTAGGTTATTTTTTATCTGGGAACACTCAAAGATTACTCCATATAAATTAGTGGTAAAACAGCATCCCTAGGCCCACAAAATAACTTACCAAATCAAAGCAAATAGGAATATACTACTTTTGGGTTGTAGGGAAAACCTGCATTTCACTAAACGGGATAAAAGAAAATCTTAAGATATCCTATCCTGCTCAATTTTATGAAATGAGTGATATGACTGTGCTTACTTTGTTAAATCAAGGAAAACTTACTAATCACAAATATGGATTCCAAAAAAAACATTTTAAGTTATTAAACAAACAAACAAAAATATCTAGCAGGGAAACAAGCTGTGAAGTCAATTATAGTTTGCAAAGTTAGCCACTTCTTTTGTACTAAATATCCATAAATTATAAGGGAATTTCTTTTATTTACATTTAACATTTAGATTTCTAGTAAAGTTCACATTTCTTTACTCTTAACTGTCCCTGTGGTTTCACTTCTAGCTGTTTTGTGTGATAATGGGGGTCTTACAATTTATTTTGGAGACCTTTTTTCATTTTGGACCCCTTTATCAAGACAAATGAAGTTCTCTCTGAATTGCAAGTGCATATTCAAGTGTGTTCTCTTGTCTCTGTCTCTGTGTTTCTGTCTCTCTGTCTCTTCCTCTTTCTCTTTTCCTCCCTCCCCCACTCCCTCCCTCTAAACATTAAGGTGGTCATATTCTAATCAAAGTCCAGGGATTCAGTTTATGGCCAATTTGTCCGAGAATTCCTTTTTGCTTAGTTAAGACTTTAGAACCAGGGGGCCTCCCTGGTGGCGCAAGGGATTAAGCACAGCACTGTGAAGCTGTCTGCAGGCTCTACAGCATGAGTTGGATCCAGGGCCCTGCACGTCTGGCCTGTACCCCAGTTCTCGTATGCATAAATAAATATTTTTTAAAAATAGACTTGGGGCGTCCCTGGTGGCGCAAGGGGTTAAGATGCTGGGATATGAGGCTATATGAAGTCACTGCAGCATGAGTTCGATCCCCAGCCAGGTAGGTGACCCACATGGCACAGCAGACTTCTCCTGTCTCGCCCGCTGCTCCACTCAGCAGTGTATTTCAGTAAATCTGCCTGCTTCCCACTCTGTCTCTGGTGAATCCTCTCACACCCCACACCTTTGTCCATACCCCAGTCCTTGTATGCATAAATAAATAAATCTTTAAAAAAAAAAAAAGCTATGTTTAAAAAAAAGGACTTTAGAACCAGTACCAGATTAAAACAATCCTGTGATACTAACTAATCTACATAAATAATCTGTAGCTTCAGATCCCTAAGCTCATTTGCCAACACCCAATCCACTCCATTTGTCAAAAAGGGTCAGACCACATTAAAGAAAAAAAGAAACTGCTTCCTTTGATATAGCAAATTAGATTCGATTCAATTGACTATAAACCAAAAAAAATATGAAATGGTTTCACCATCTCACTAACAACAAACAAAAAAGGTTTTTATATTTTCTTGAAGACATGAATCAATCAAAAACTCTACTTAATTAAGTACAAATCTCAATGCCCAAAGAATTCAGGTACTGTCTACAGGTCAAGTTTAATTTAAAAATTAACTTACGTTTATTTTTTAAAAAGTAGAATTCACTCTCTTACAGAAGAAAAGCAAATCATTCAAGACCACAGCTATTTTTAGCTAATTTGAATGTAAAAGAACAACTCCTACATGATAATGGATAACTTACCATTTTTCCTTACTAGGCCAAAGAATCAAACTGTGTCAGAAATCAAGTTTATAATGTTTATGCTATCAAGAATAACAGTATAAAAATAAAACACTTAACAACTATTGGTCCTACATTGGTGTAGTTACTGGAAGAAGAATTCAGTATTTCCTTAGTGAAAATAATTCACCTAATTGGGCCTCCCCTGCTAGTGCGCAGCAGTTGTGCTGGGCTGCGAAGCTTCCTGCAGCCTCTGCGCGCAGGTTAGATCCCCATCCACCAGCAAGGGTCCCACATGGCATGGCAGACCTCTCCTGCTGGGCCCGCTGCTCCCCTCACAGTGTATTTCATCAGTCTGCCTGGTCTGCTCCCCGCTCTGGCTATGGTGAATTCTCTCACCCTCCCGTGCTTCTGACTGTACCCAGTACTTGTATAAATAAATAAATCTTAAAAAAAAAAAAAAAAAAGAATTCACCTAATTCATAACTATTACATAGTCTTGTTTCATTACCAAAAATTTCTCAAATGTGAATGAATTCTGCTTTTAGGGGTATTCCTGTTTATACACG